ACCACCATGATCACCATTCTCATCATCATCATCATCACCATCATCATCATCATCACCATCATCATCATCATTATCAGCATAATCATCAACATCATCATCAACATCATCAGCATGATCATCTTCATTGTCAACGTTATTGTCGTCATCATCATCATCATCATCATTTTCGTTTTCTTCTTCTTGTTCATGGATGTATTATACAAGAATACAAATAGCTATCAGTCAGTAGCTATCAGTGAGATGAGAATCATAAATTTCAACACGGACAGCCCCCCGACTGAGTGCAAAACGAAGTGCGTCATAAAAGAACCCCTCTTGATGTGTCATGTGGTTGTACTTGGCTTTGAAACAGCGCAAGCTCTGCAACAATGAGCCCAGGTCGTCACTGTCGAGCTCCTCATCCGGAATGCCCTCGGCCGAGCAGGAGGGCATGGCCAGTGGGAACAGTGGCTGCTTATCATCTCAGCGCAGCCTGGGTTCTAATTTGTCAACGATTGCCGCTATGGCTTGACAAATCAATCCTTTGCAAAACCCATCCACATATCTCACAGAGAAGCTTGGGATAGTCCTGTCACCCTGGCTGACAAACCGAATGCAGAGCGGTTCCCGATACGGATCGAAGTTTCGATAGAGGATGTTCTTGAAGTGCGGCACCACTGTGGCCATGTGAGGAAAAACTTAGTATCCAGGCAAGGATTTTCAAATTGAATATAAGAAAGAGCCCCGAAGTGTCAAGACACAATGCTTAAAGTTTCAACCTAGCAACAGCCATGTTTTCCATCACGCCCATAGTCCAGCTGTGTGATGTCAACAAAGCATTCATTCAATGATTCCACTGGCTCAATGCTGACACAGGTTGGCATGGGGTCTTTGCTAGGTCGGTTCATCACCACCCTCTCCAGGACCCGTTTCATTTTGCTGCGGTCGCCATACTCATCATTGAGCCAATCCCCCAGATTGGCTTCAGCTGTGACCTGAGCAATCTGATTGGACCACCGGTTGATTGAGTTGGTGTTTTGATTTAAGTTCAAAACCACCCATGTTTGAAAGATGATCTCAGAGAGAGACTTTTGTGAAACACTCCCAAATGAGATCTCGATGACTATTGAGCCCTTTGGGCTCTTCATCTTTACACAACGCTGCAGCTGTCATTGAAGCCATTTGAGCCGCAAAAAAACTGTCGGGCCATCATCATTGATGATTCGGACTGGCGTGACTGATCAGTTTTGCAGAATGATTCATTTGGCAAAAACTCTTCGTCAAACAATCATGCCAGCAGAACCATTCAGCAGCTCAGATACCTTAGGCGAGAACAGGTTCAGGCTGACCTGGCATTGAACACATACCTAGCAACTTTGAGCCCCCAGCCCCACCATGGACATCGATGAAGATGGAGAAGCATGTCCAGACCTTCAGGGAAATTTCACACTAGCAAACCACCTGCCTGGAGTTGAGCAGTCGGTCTTGGGAGCCACCAAGCTACTCGAACAGGCTTTGGGGCAATCAGCCGGTTTGGATGGGATTTCGTTCGACCGGTCGTTCAGTGATAAGATCAAGAAAGCACAGGACTTGTTGGAAGAAGCTCTGGTTGAGATTGAGGAGGAAAACGTGAAGGCATCCAAACAAGTTCAAGACGCATTGGGCTTTTTGGTGTTTCTCGTGAACAAGCCTGAGGGCGAGACTGATGGTGGAACTTCAGAACCTGATGGCTGAGCTGAAGATTTTGAATGTTAGTGTGCAAAATGCACAGTTGAGGCAAGTGCTTTAAACTTGCCAGCTTTGGAACGTCAAGAGCCTGAAGCAGGCAGCGTGTGATTGCGAGAAAAAAATCAGCTCAAATGGTTGCTGGACTTGCAGCCAAGGAAGCTTGCAGCTGGCAGCAAGCGTTCAAGCCACAAGTCACAAGCCACTGCACTTGCAAGCAACAAGCAGCCACCGTTACTGCACTGACAGTCACCCGCCTTTAGCACACATGCCAAGGCAGCGGCTATGGGTCTGCAGTGCATGGCATTGCCAGCCATTTCTCCCAACACCTGCGCGTTGTGATGTGGGATGGAAAAATTGCGAGAGCTCGCTGCTATGTCATGTTAACCCAATAAACAAGCCAGCTTGTCAGAATCCGAGACGGCATCCACATGTAGCGCATGGGCTGGAAAGCCCATGAGGAGAAACTTTTCAACCCCTGGAAAGCAATTTGGGAAAAAACGAATCATCACTGGACTGATTGATTTGAAACTGAGACAGCACCCCATGCCTAACAAACAACCTTTTTTTTCACGAACCCAATACTTTCCAGCAGGCCTGAGATAACAGTTCGTCATCTCTCAGATGATTGTTAAAACATCAGTATACAAATTGAGACTGTATGTTCTATGGGTGTTGCAATACACATTCTGGACATGAGACAGCTAGATATTGGCGGTAGATATTGCACACACAATATGATATCTTTATGTACACACATGATAGCTGAACTGAGGCATGGGCGTAATGCACATGAATGGACCATTGTCAACCACAGCCGGCATTCGATGAAGTTCTGCGAAAGGTCGCATACAGTCCAGGCTGGCTAGATGGAAGACAAGATGGCCAGGGCCTGCAAAAGGCAACATCTAAAACAAAATAGTTGAATTGACTAACTGGCGGAAAGATAACTGGAGCCTGGAAACTTCTCGGTGTTTCCAAGTGCTTCTGCCATGCAGTAGCATCTTCCTTCAGCTTCTTTTTGTTGACCTGTATGGAAACCCATGGAAGCAAAAACTACCCAGCAAAACAAACACCACACCTTAAAGCCCAGCTGTGCCTTGTGTCGGCTCATGAACTCCCAGTGGATGTGTCTCCACTTTGGTTCTGTTTGTCTTGGCCTGGCCACAATGTAATGTTCAGAAACCTGAAAGCAAAAAATATTTGGGGCCCTGGCTTCTTCAATATGCAGTGGTTGTCTTTCTGCACTGTTCTTTTCTTTTCCTGCTGCGGTTGGTTGGAACTTTTTTGGGTGAAAACATTTTGAAAACACTTCTTCTTGTTTGTCAGTCCTTTTTCTCACGAAGCAGTTCATGGGTATCTGGCAGCAAAAAAGTTTGCCTAAGACGCAAAACAGAAAAACATTGAGTGAGTGATCTTTTGTTTTTGCACAATGAAATCAAACACATTGACACACAGCATTGGGTATCCCACCATGGTTCACATTCGCCAAACTTGTTCTCCAACTCTTTCAAGGTTCCCGAAGCAATCGTTTCAAGATTCCCTGTCAAATAGTCTCTTCGCACAAGTAGGAAATAGTACCTCCCCGTGGCCACATTGACTCCAAGTCGATGCCTTGGCAAAAGTGAGGCAATGATTTTTTGGGGCAACAACTACTAAATGACTGATTGTACCACGATGGTTTCAGCTCAGCTACGGGGAGATGACGGTAATGTAAAGCTCATACTCTGGCAATTCTTTGGTGATGTGCACTTTAACATCATCCAAAACAGCTGCTATTCCAAGGACATTCTCCAGCACACATGCCTCAGAACGACGGAACTATATAGAAATTAATTGGTTGGTTTCAGCGCAAGTCGAAAACAACATAAGTTAAAGTCAGGGTGCACGTGGCCGAATTTTTCGGATGTTGGAAATGCAGCCGTAAAAGGGCTTGGCTTGTTCATAATCCATCCATAAACTGAATTTTCTCAATCTGCTGAAAGCCTTACATGGAAATCCAGCAGCGTAGACATCAACCTGGCAGCCAGCAAATGGGGTCTAATGTTTTGTATTTCAAAGTAAGAAAATGTGTTGTGTATTTGAACTGCGTTGCTGATATGCCTGATCCGCATACTTCTCTGCTTCACGATTGAAAACGTTGTGATGTAACCTCAATGGGTGATTTTTTAGCTGACATGCTTTAAACTAGGGTCAGAGCAGAACAGGCTAAGGATTGAGCTCTGCATTTGCATAATTCGATTTGATGTAATCTTGTGGGCCCTTCGCGATGTCACAGGCAGACCTTGATTTTTTCTTGGTGGTGAGCAGCTACAAGTCCAATGCAAAATGAGCTCCCCACAAGTGGTGGATAAGTTCTTTGCCAAACATCAGATGCTATGAATTGGAGTTGGGAATCTTAAAACTCCAAGAAATTAAGCCCCCAGCAATCAGTAAGTACACGGAGTGGTCGCCCCAAGGGTTCCAAATGGTCTTTGAGACCTGGTGGAAAATCATGTAGCAATAAAAAATTAAAAAGTTGCCAGACAATCTGCTCGTAGGCACACTGTGGGCCCCTACACGTTGCATCCGTAGAGTCGGGGCCAAAATCCAAACACTTTTGCTGATGGGGTGTCAAATGAAGACTTCCAGAAGAATGCCGCCTGGAACAAAAACGCTAGCCATGAAATATTCAACGATCATCAGCTGACAAACAGACAAACATATGCGAGCCTTACTGTCTCTGCCGAGGCGACTGACTCTGTATCAGAAGAGCTACATTCGATATCCCCTTCGGAATCGTACCTCCATATGGGCATACCTTGGTCACCAAAAGGGTCATATTTTCCTTTTAAAATATTACGCTAAGCTGATATGCTTTTAACAAACCAGTGATGCTAGGCCCCGAGCTGCCCGCAGAGGTTGCAAAGCCAGTGGGTTTTTTTTGAGCCACAAAAATACAACCAGATGATGCGCTTAGTTGCACTAAAAGTAAACCATCATCATTTTTTTTAGTATTAACTAATCCGACACCCAGTTTCTATTTGGAAGACACCCACTTACAAGTAGACTGGCCGGGCCTATTTTTTAACCCATTTTATAGCCATAATAACTGGCTTAAGGGGTTTCACTGGATTTTCCCATATTCTCCCATTAAATCATCCATTTACATCTGCGATCGGGCCATGGCTGTGTAACCCGTAACCGTTGACACGAAAAAACCTCAGGTGCGTGTGGAGAAAATGGACGCGAAGGCGATGATTTTTTTCAGAGAGCTACTGTGGATGGTTGCGAAATCCGAGCACCAATTTGGGATGGTTGAAACATGTTGAAACCCTATGGCCGGTTGGTGGTTTGGAACATGATTTTTATGACTTTCCATTCAGTTGGGAATGTCATCATCCCAACTGACGAACTCCATCATTTCTCAGAGGGGTTGTTTTACCACCAACCAGATGAATAATGGGATGTTGACATGGATAAACCTAACCTACTTATCCATATTCATCCCAGTAACTGGGTAATGCCAGTTATAAGTGGGCTATGGATAGGTTACTGTAATCCACTTATAACCAGGATAAACCACTTTTGGTGGGACCACCAAGCCGTTTTAGACCGGGATCTTGCTGCAGAGTTAGAAAGAAGATCAACTCAAAGGGATGATCGCTACGAAACATAGCCGTAGCATATATATATATAATTAGCTATTAGTATATACACATATGATACATATGTATACTGTATATATATATAATACATATCTCATATATCGTTGATCTTCGTTTAACAGCTTTCCAGCTACTATTCTGTGCATCAATTCGGAGCAACTCTGTGCCAAATCATGGGGCTGTGGCCTTGGATCGGGGTTGTAATCCGGCACCATTTTTTAAAAGCTGAGATAAAAATAATATGACCAGCTGTTGCTACAATGATCTCAGATTTGTCTTTGGTGGCGGTGTAATGTATGATAGCCTGTTCTACAAAATTGCAAACCAGTTTCTATCAGCCATAGGTATCATGGTAACACAAACGGCATCCAAGTTCTAATTCGATATATGGCATTTCTTTGTTTTGTTAGTAAAGCAATAGTAAACCATCCCCAAAAACACCATAATATATATATATATATGGGTGGTATAAACCATCAATCCATATGAATGGTTAATATTATCTCTATTAGTGTCAAAAATCATGGCTTAAACTGATGGTTAAGCAGCATGTGCCAACATTTAACCAACGTTTAACAGCTTCTGGCAAACACTCAACAACATTTAACCAACCACTAATCAACCAGTCACCAACATTTAACCAACATTTGACCAACATTTGACCAACATTTAACCAACATTAACCATGGTTTATGACCATTTATGACCAACAAAACATCAACCACTGCTGCGGCCACCGAGCCCATCCCGTTGTGTCTAGGCCCGCGACACGGCGGTCCGTGAAGCCGTGGCACTGCGACGGGTGCGACATCCCAACGTGGTGCGCTTCAGATGCTCGCTGCGCGCTGCGGATGATGGGTTATAACATGTTATAACTCCAATTTCACTATGGTTTTTGTTGGTGATGTATCTATATATATATATCTATATAACTTATAAATTACTATGGTTTATTATCCCATAACCCGTTATAAGTTGGTGATATATCTATAGTTTTCATGGGATATCTATATCTATAGGTGATATGTCTATATTCCTAACCAATGCTATAGTTAATTCTGTAGGTGATATATCTATATTTATATAATTTATATCTATAGCGCCGGACAACTACTTAGAACATCGTTTTGGAAATTTTTCGGTGGGTACGCGCCCTCTACTTAGAACATTTTCGGCGAATAGGGGGACGTATGTTCAAAGTGACTTAGAACATATGAGGATCCTCTACTTAGAACACGCCATCATATACATGTAAATATATGTATATGTATACATACAACTTAACACTGCATATTTATATATCCTACAACTTACACACAGACCCTTTTGGCCACCCTTTTTCCCAACTTTCTGTTGCTGAAATCATACCAACCCTCCGCCACGGCGATGCGGCGAATGGATCCGGATGCTCTAGGTGAGAGGCTACATAGGATATATTCAAATATATTATATATATATATATAGCGATGTACATACGATTCGAACATCAGGTTTGGAAAGTTTTTATTATATGAATATATAGTGCCGGACAACTACAATATTCAAAATATATTATATATACACAGGATTTTCCAAAATGCACGTAGATAGCTGGTGGGATTCTTACTTAGAACACGGAGGAACCCCCAAAACCTCTATATAGCGATGTACATACGATTCGAACATCAGGTTTGGAAAGTTTTTATTATATGAATATATAGTGCCGGACAACTACAATATTCAAAATATATTATATATACACAGGATTTTCCAAAATGCACGTAGATAGCTGGTGGAATTCTTACTTAGAACACGGAGGAACCCCCAAAACCTCTATATAGCGATGTACATACGATTCGAACATCAGGTTTGGAAAGTTTTTATTATATGAATATATAGTGCCGGACAACTACAATATTCAAAATATATTATATATACACAGGATTTTCCAAAATGCACGTAGATAGCTGGTGGGATTCTTACTTAGAACATGGAGGAACCCCAAAACCTCTGTGTATATATATATAGCGATGTACATACGATTCGAACATCAGGTTTGGAAAGTTTTTATTCTATGAATATATAGTGCCGACAACTACAATATTCAAAATATATTATATATACAGGATTTTCCAAAATGCACGTAGATAGCTGGTGGGATTCTTACTTAGAACACGGAGGAACCCCCAAAACCTCTATATAGCGATGTACATACGATTCGAACATCAGGTTTGGAAAGTTTTTATTATATGAATATATAGTGCCGGACAACTACAATATTCAAAATATATTCTATATACACAGGATTTTCCAAAATGCACGTAGATAGCTGGTGGGATTCTTACTTAGAACATGGAGGAACCCCCAAAACCTCTATATAGCGATGTACATACGATTCGAACATCAGGTTTGGAAAGTTTTTATTATATGAATATATAGTGCCGGACAACTACAATATTCAAAATATATTATATATACACAGGATTTTCCAAAATGCGCGTAGATAGCTGGTGGAATTCTTACTTAGAACACGGAGGAACCCCCAAAACCTCTATATAGCGATGTACATACGATTCGAACATCAGGTTTGGAAAGTTTTTATTATATGAATATATAGTGCCGGACAACTACAATATTCAAAATATATTATATATACACGGGATTTTCCAAAATGCACGTAGATAGCTGGTGGGATTCTTACTTAGAACATGGAGGAACCCCCAAAACCTCTGTGTATATATATATCTATATATATAGCGATGTACATACGATTCGAACATCAGGTTTGGAAAGTTTTTATTATATGAATATATAGTGCCGGACAACTACAATATTCAAAATATATTATATATACACAGGATTTTCCAAAATGCGCGTAGATAGCTGGTGGGATTCTTACTTAGAACACGGAGGAACCCCCAAAACCTCTATATATCGATGTACATACGATTCGAACATCAGGTTTGGAAAGTTTTATTATATGAATATATAGTGCCGGACAACTACAATATTCAAAATATATTATATATACACAGGATTTTCCAAAATGCACGTAGATAGCTGGTGGGATTCTTACTTAGAACACGGAGGAACCCCCAAAACCTCTATATAGCGATGTACATACGATTCGAACATCAGGTTTGGAAAGTTTTTATTATATGAATATATAGTGCCGGACAACTACAATATTCAAAATATATTATATATACACAGGATTTTCCAAAATGCACGTAGATAGCTGGTGGGATTCTTACTTAGAACATGGAGGAACCCCCAAAACCTCTGTGTATATATATATATATATAGCGATGTACATACGATTCGAACATCAGGTTTGGAAAGGTTTTATTATATGAATATATAGTGCCGGACAACTACAATATTCAAAAAATATTATATATACACAGGATTTTCCAAAATGCACGTAGATAGCTGGTGGGATTCTTACTTAGAACATGGAGGAACCCCCAAAACCTCTGTGTATATATATATAGCGATGTACATACGATTCGCACATCAGGTTTGGAAAGTTTTTATTATATGAATATATAGTGCCGGACAACTACAATATTCAAAATATATTATATATACACAGGATTTTCCAAAATGCATGTAGATAGCTGGTGGGATTCTTACTTAGAACACGGAGGAACCCCCAAAACCTCTATATAGCGATGTACATACGATTCGAACATCAGGTTTGGAAAGTTTTTATTACATGAATATATAGTGCCGTACAACTACAATATTCAAAATATATTATATATACACAGGATTTTCCAAAATGCGCGTAGATAGCTGGTGGGATTCTTACTTAGAACACGGAGGAGCCCCCAAAACCTCTATATAGCGATGTACATACGATTCGAACATCAGGTTTGGAAAGTTTTATTATATGAATATATAGTGCCGGACAACTACAATATTCAAAATATATTATATATACACAGGATTTTCCAAAATGCACGTAGATAGCTGGTGGGATTCTTATTTAGAACATGGAGGAACCCCCAAAACCTCTGTGTATATATATATAAATAGCGATGTACATACGATTCGAACATCAGGTTTGGAAAGTTTTTATTATATGAATATATAGTGCCGGACAACTACAATATTCAAAATATAGTATATATACACAGGATTTTCCAAAATGCACGTAGATAGCTGGTGGGATTCTTACTTAGAACATGGAGGAACCCCCAAAACCTCTGTGTATATATATATAGCGATGTACATACGATTCGAACATCAGGTTTGGTAAGTTTTTATTATATGAATATATAGTGCCGGACAACTACAATATTCAAAATATATTATATATACACAGGATTTTCCAAAATGCACGTAGATAGCTGGTGGGATTCTTACTTAGAACACGGAGGAGCCCCCAAAACCTCTATATAGCGATGTACATACGATTCGAACATCAGGTTTGGAAAGTTTTTATTATATGAATATATAGTGCCGGACAACTACAATATTCAAAATATATTATATATATATACACAGGATTCTCCAAAATGCACGTAGATAGCTGGTGGGATTCTTACTTAGAACATGGAGGAAACCCAAAACCTCTGTATATATATATAGCGATGTACATACGATTCGAACATCAGGTTTGGAAAGTTTTTATTATATGAATATATAGTGCCGGACAACTACAATATTCAAAATATATTATATATACACAGGATTTTCCAAAATGCACGTAGATAGCTGGTGGATTCTTACTTAGAACATGGAGGAACCCCCAAAACCTCTGTGTATATATATATATAGCGATGTACATACGATTCGAACATCAGGTTTGGAAAGTTTTTATTATATGAATATATATAGTGCCGGACAACTACAATATTCAAAATATATTATATATACACAGGATTTTCCAAAATGCACGTAGATAGCTGGTGGGATTCTTACTTAGAACACGGAGGAGCCCCCAAAACCTCTATATAGCGATGTACATACGATTCGAACATCAGGTTTGGAAAGTTTTATTATATGAATATATAGTGCCGGACAACTACAATATTCAAAATATATTATATATACACAGGATTTTCCAAAATGCACGTAGATAGCTGGTGGGATTCTTACTTAGAACACGGGGGAACCCCCAAAACCTCTACTTAGAACATACCTGTTCAAAACGTGTTCTAAGTAGTGATCCAGGATCACTACTTAGAATACGTTTTGGAATTCCAAAACCAATGTTCTAAGTAGTTGTCCAGCGCTATATAGCTAATGGGGTTATAAACCAACTTAGCTATCTAGGGGACACCACCTTGTAGGAAATTTTCTGGAAATTCATGGGCATCGGCGGTTATTTTTTGTCGTAAATAGACAAGAGGATTGGAACATCTAGAGGAAAACATCTGTTTTTTTCGTACAGTGTATAGGGTTCCACCCTTTCATTGTGGCATTTATCCAATTCTCCAAGAAGGATCGGACATTTGCCCAGTTGTTCGAATTCTCCAAGGGATTTCAGGCAAAGAAACCAGAATTTGACCAGCGAGGATCTAGTGATTTGATCATCAATAAAAGGCTATGGTATTGGGAGAAGTGGCTGCAGTACACAAGTTACATTTCAATACATAACTGTGTTGTGCCCAGAGTCTTTGTTGGTTGATGTTTTTCGGGTACAAGATGGATTACTGGACTAACTATATAGAATCCATCGCTAACGATGGCTGAACCCGAACCTTTCACCATGTTGGATTGTTAAATTCCATTTTTGTTGAATGTTCAAATCCTGATTGTTCAGCATGAAGGTTGAATCCCCTTGTTCCACCAAAGAAATAATGTTGTATCATTCTGAAAATGCTTAACTCCTACGTAAGTATAAAACTTAATAGCATCTTTGACAATTAACCTTCCCCACTTTGGGTTGGGTGTTTCACCATTATATATATATATATATAATTGATATGTTGACAATAATAATAGTATCTATAACTCTTCGTTAGGAACTTTATTAAATCGTATTAAAATCCCTTTGGTCTACTTTCCCCTTTATCCTACCAAAATGGTGGAACAATTATAGTATGTTTGTATGATGGCATCAGAATTCCATTCACTTCCCATTGTTTTAAAATTGCATTTTTCATGCTGAGCACCTCCCATTATTTATAGGACAAGTCTTCGTCCGTTCGGGCTGGCTGTGCCTGGTCATGGACTTCGCGGACGGCGGGGACTTGTGCGCCGCGGTGAAGGAGCGTGCCAAGAGCGGACAGCTCTTCGAGGAGTCGGCCGTACCTCGGTGGTTGGCGAACCGGGGAAGGCCGTATTCAGCGGCAAGCCATGTGGGGATAGAAGATATCTCCTGTGGTAAATGAACAGTTGGACCCTGAACATAACTCAAGTTTAGTGGAAAGTATTGGAAAGTAATCGTCCAACCCCTATCTGCCAGGGTCTATGTTAATTTGCTGGAGAGTAACCAAAGAAAATTAGAGAAGATGGAGATTTAGTGCATTTAGATGTGATTTAAAGGGAATTCACCGGCAAAAGATGAGGATTTCACTTAGAACAATAGTTTTTCAATATTGATTTTACCAGCAAAACATGGGAATTTAGCCAAGGAAGGTAGGAATTTACAGTTTTTGTTGGTACTCCAATGGTGAATAGATGGTTATAATCGTGATTTAGGGATATTAAGTTGGGATGATTTGGGATATTACCCTTCAGGGTCATCAAACGTGGCTGGCTGGTAAATCCCCGAGGTAAATGGAGGTTTATAGCCAAAATCATCTAATGCCATGCTTGATTAGCGGAGGGTAAAAGGATGTTTTTTGGACAATAACACTAATTAATTAGGAAATTATATGAAATTATTAATCGGTGGATTCTAAGATACCTACCATACCATCCATAGTGAAGGAAGGGGTTTTGTCCTTTGGGAGCAGCCATGTTTTTCTTTAGCATGTCCAAACATAATCATACGCTATTAAGAAATTCCAACAGTGATTGAGGATTTGTTTTTCGGAAGTTGCCGCATAGTCAGCTAAGTTGGTTTATTTCATTGGGTATTCTGTGTTTTAATGGTGATTATACTTACAGTTGTGGGTGTTTAAATTGTAGAAACCCGAAAACACCAGACCTGGGGGGGACTCAGGGATGAGTTTCTTGAGCGATCAACACTTGGAAGCCAAGATCTACTTCAAGTTGATGTGAACTTCACTAAATCTACCCTCTGGTTATTTAACATAGCCGCCACGGAAAATGACCCATTTATAGATGGTTTACCTATTAAAATGGTGATTTTCCATGGCTATGTTAAATAACCAGATGGTACTCTAAATTTTATCTAAATCTATCAATGACCATGTCAGGAACCGATTTATTGGAGGTACCTACCATATATAAGGCCTATTTTTTAGGCCCATGTAAGGGAACATTCCCATAAAATATTGGTCTTATATGGTACTAACGTACCTCCATTTTAGGATCCCGAAATTCCCATTGAGTCTGCCTTGGCCTCAACAAAATCTGCTAAGATGTGCCAAGGTTCAACAGCTTAAAGGTCTCCAGCGATTTTTCCCAACGTTCCGGGGAGTGACTGCCATTGACGAGAACTCATTTATAGACTTAGAAATTCTCCACCCAAACAAATGAAGCAATAGAGATGGAAAAGTAGGTTGATACTATTTTAGTATATTTTAGTGTTGTTGTTTTTCTATGTTTTTGTGGGGCCGTTAAAAAAAGGTAGCAAACACAGCAGCCCAGGCCTTGAAAGCGCCGATGAATGGGTACCCATGGCTTTGTCCAGAACCGGACCCCCCAATTACAATTCAATGTTTATTCATAAGTTTTGAACGGGATTTTATGTTCCTAAACCAGTATAAACCATAGGTTTTTGTTTCCCCTATGTTTTTCCCCACACTTTTACACAAGCGCATGACATGAACACCGTCACTAGATCTTGCTGCCTGAGGTGTTGGAGTGTTTCTCCCAGGTGGGTCGGTGGAGGATGGGGAATTTGAAAAAAACATGGACGCATTTCATGGCTGAGTCCACAGAAAACATCAGCATTTCGTTGGCCAGTTGGAATATTCCAACCACCATTTTTACTGAGTCACATGTTTTTCTCATAAAACTGATTTTTGCTCATAAAATCATATAAAATCTCCATTTTGGCCGATCAAATCCATATCAATCACCCATTTTCTTCGTGACGTCCACATGTTTTGCCGGTGAAATCCCGGTTTCGGTTCGAACCGGAGGTGGCCGATGCGGTGCGTTACGTGCACGCGCAGAAGATGGTGCATCGAGACGTTTGGCCTAATTGTAATGAATTATCTAAGGACTCAAGGATGTGGGGTGATTCAATGGAGGTTTAATAAATGGTGATTCTATGTGGGTTGTCATGGTGATTTAATGGTGATTCAGTAATTCAATGGAGGTTTCATATAGGACTTAATATGGGATATTAACGGGATTATCCCCATTAAATGGCTATTTGGGTGGTATACCCCAATTTCAGATACCCAGCCATGAAGAACTTGCAATTTTCCGGAGTTAGAATTGGGAACAGATGTGTGAAAACGTGCAATTTAGTGCGAATAAAGGTCTTTTCAAATAGAAACAAAAGTGTTTTTTGGGGTATAGTCATTGTATAGTTATATAGATTTCTTATAGGGAACATGTGGGAACAATGAGGAGCATGATCAAATGTTGCGTTAGCTTCTCTCGTTTCCGACAAACTCATATATGCAATGGTTGGTTGATCACTAGTGACTTGTATAATGTGGGGATTGCTACACCATCTCCATAAAAAAGAATTCAGTTGATGTTTGATACCAGCTGGTTTAGGGAGGAGTCAGTCCAGACATTGCTGGATTTACCGATTTACCTGGCCGTCCAACAATGGGGATTGGTGGAATCAGTGGATTGGTGGAATACCCAGTTTTTGGACAAAGCCATCTAATCTAATGAACCATTTGCAGTGTTTTCACTTGAAGTTTTGAGAAATAAATACAGTTATTTGAAATTTGAGATACTGTTTTTTTCACCACTTCTGTTTCATGTTTTCGGGATGTAATGATGGAAGCATCAAGATATGACACGTGACCAGCCATAGGTTGCTGTGGAGGGGTATGGATCGGATTTTGAGGCAGAGAGGGACTGATGACGTTGATTTACCACTTTTGACTCCATAGATCAACATAGATCATCATCATTCATCATAGGTTTGCCATGGTTTGTCATTGTTATATATTAAACGACAACATCATCTATTTCATGTTTCAATATTTAATTATACATCATCATTTATCAACATATCATAGACGTCATAGATCATCTTCATTTGTCATAGATCCATAGATCCATAGATATCCATAGGTGTAAAATATCAGTCACATCCGGCCCAGGACATCAAATCGCGCAATGTTTTTCTTTGTCGCACGGGGCAAGCGAGCCTTGGATCCATGGATCATCGTGGGGTCATCCCCTTGATCTGTTGGTGATATCCTCATTGGAGTACTGCAGCGATATTATTTGCTGAATAAAAACCATATTGAAATATAGGATTGCTAGAACATCTAACTATAACATACTATAACATGATATTACTATAAATAACTCTTATATAAATATATAACAACTCTTATGATTTATGCAAATTTATGCATCTTCTGTAACCACACACACTTTGTTTTTTGTTGCCGTCTCTTGAGGCTCCTGGGCGACTTTGGCCTGGTGAGGCTGCTGGAAAGTACCTGCGAACTGGCGCACAGCCGCGTGGGAACGCCTTACTACTTGAGTCCAGTGCCTTGGGAAATCCTTGGGAGCAGGGCGGAGCAGGGCGGAGCAGGGCGGAGCAGGGCGGAGCAGGGCGGAGCGCTGGGGATGGAGCTTACCCGACCTGGTAATTTTCGACCGTTTGCGATTGAAAATGGTACTTTACTTCATGGATTTCTCCATTGAAAATGGTGGTTTTCCATAGCTATGTAAACGTTTACCAGAGGGTAAAGAGTTGGGGATGTGTTTCGTGGATGAAAATGATGGTAAACTTTTATATGTGAACCTCCTCTGAGAGATTTTCAATAGACTATAGTTAATCTGTTGTTGTTTCGACCAAGTTTGCTGGTTTTAATAGTCCGGGGAATAGGAGAGATGTTCGCAACTCTGCGAATGGATAGATTGGGATATAGCCAGAAGCACTACTATAGCGAGCTCATGACCAACTTTGTGCAGAAACATTCTCGGAACATCCGGGTCCTGGTTTTCTTTCGGCATGCACTGTGTCTTCATTTTGATCCGATAAGCATGAACATCCGTGAGCTATTTTTTGTTGTTTTTTTTTTGTGGATTTGCAACTGAAAGACCTGGCATCTCCCTGGTCCACAACGGTCATGGCCGCGTTTTTTGTGGCAGCCACGACTGAATCAGGAAATCATTCGCAAGCAAGCCTACAACTACCCAACGGACGTTTGGAGTTCCCTTGGCTTAGTGGGTGTCACAGCTGGTGCCATAAAGAAGTTTCAGTTCCAAAAGGTAAGCGAAGGAACAACAAACTCGTTGAAGTATCCAATTTCCCTTCTTTTGCCACAAGTATCCAGGGACTTGCTTGAAATCATACCCAAAATATGCCAGCTGGTTTCCTTTCAAACATTGTCATTGGCCCTATAAACCTTTGAACCCCAAAGCCATGTGGGTTTACCTGAACAATTCTTCCAAAATCCCTTCCACCAAACCAAAGACTTTATGTCCCTTGGTCCGGCCCTTGCTTGTGAAAGATTGTGATCCATTCGTTTTTTTTTCTATTGGTTCCAAGCTTTTGCCACCCAGAAAAAACTCAATAAAATCGACCTTTTTCCATTAAAGCACCCAAAAAGGTCATCAAAGATCACCATATTTCCCCTAGAAAACATAGGATTTTTCCATAAATCTCGTATTTTTTCCAAGATTTTCCCATGTCTTTCGCCACGTTTTTCTCCGAACTCGCCCGAGGTTTGGGCGTGTTGCTCTACGAGATGGCCGCCCTACGGCGGCCCTTCCTGGGAACGCTGGTGCCTTGCTGGGAGAATGCCATGGGGATAGATTCAACCATCTCTAGTAACCATCTATACTACTGTAACAATGATTTTTAATATGTTTTTATAGTAACCAATTGATTTTTAGAAACCTAATGTAACAATCTCAGATACCCAACAATAGATAAAACATGTAACATAAGGGATTTTTTTAGTAAAATAAATTTAACATATAGTAACCATTTGTCAACCACTAGATTTACTTCGTAGCCATACATAAAAATGAAGGTTTGAGTGGGAAAGGCCATCGAACTGAGTTCATCAGCTGCGAAAAAAAAAAACTCCAGGAGTTAGCAAAGATCAGGTTTTGCATCATCTCTTACTTACGGTGGCAGCCAACTTCGAAACTTCGATCTACCTTGGTTTTTAGGTGAATCCAATAGGGTTTCTGGCAACGATTTCACTGGAGTCACCATGATAAGTGCCATATGTTGTCATATACCATGATAATAACGGACCTTTGTCTTGAGGTTAAATGGCATATAATGAGGTCAACAAAAACATGTGTAACATGCACAAAAACGTCACCACAGTGGTGCCGCGCGGTCATGTTTCGTATGTTTGTTGGTTTATCATCCCCATTAAAACTAGATATATTCTGCCATTAACCCAAGTTATATAAAAACAAACTTTGCTTATGGGGCACCCAATGATGAACTCCAGCGAGGAAGAAAAAAGTGATGAATACCTGGTTGTAGACAGTAGTAACCCATGAGTACTGCGGTTTGTGTATTTAAGTCTAGGTGGAAAAGGATTAAATGTGTTTGGGACATAACCCACCTGGTCAGAAGGTACTTACAGTTAAAGCGGCCCCCCAATCATGCCCTTGTTTTTTTTCCATGTTATTCCTATTGAAACCTATAAGTCTTTGGTTATGGTTCAATAGCTATTACAGCATGTGAACGGGTGACTGGGGGGCCCGTGCCAAGCTCTTCACCATCCATTTCTGCCATTCTTCAGCCTTCATAAATCGCCCAGGAAACGCTGCCAAAGATCATCATAGCAGGTGCATCCCAGATGAAACAAGATGATGGCTTTGCGGTGAAGATTTTTGTTCGGAAACCAATCCATTGAGACTCAGAAAAAAAAAAAAAAAAATCGCTCGCTGAAGTTTGATGGGTTCGAAGGGCTCAGTTCATATGTCATATCGTTCCAGTATGTTCCAGTACATTTCCACCCACACTGACTGGTTCCCAACATACCCGAAGCCTCACAGTTACTTGGTCAACACACATGGTCCCACTGAATTTACCAGAACACTGTGATTTACCATGTCCTGCCATGAGAATCACAACAGGAACATGGTCATCTTCGTCATCATCACCACCATCACCACCTGACATCCCTTTATTAAGCCATAACCCTACCACCCAAGCCCGCCAGCCAAACACCCACCCTCCACGAGAGGCGAGTACGAAGCGTTGCCCGAGCACTTTTCGCCGGAGCTCAAGAGTTTGGTGGCGCGGATGTTGGCGGTGGACCCGCAGCAGCGCCTGACTTTGTCGGAGGCGCTGAAGGAAGACGTCGCTGGGTGAAAAACGGGTCGGATTTTTGGGTGAAAATGGGATGAGACTTTAGGAACATCAGCTATGAACCACTATGAGCCAGAGCAGCTATAGCTATAGGTTGTGGATTTTACAAATTCCGGGTCTCAAAAAAAAAGCACACTATATGGGCACATGTTTGTTTGATCATACCGACATGATGAGCAATCACGCAACACTATTTTGAGTGCCAATGTGACTAGCATAAACCAGCGATAGTCACTGGTTGATCTCAAGCTCTGCATGTGGGGATGTAGTCAGCAGAAGTCTGCAATGATCATGTTCATGTGGACGTTTCCTACAATGGTGGTATCCCAAGTAACCATGGGTTTCAAATACTTAGTCATAGTCTAATGACTTGGATAATTTTGGGTTAGCCTTATTTTTACGAAACCCCCATGTAAGTCAACAGGGATCGCCATCTGAATATACATGTTTTCATGAGTGATACTGATGCATAATTTACTTTCGAACACGTCAGACAAAGCCTCATAGTGATCTTCGTATTTTACCATTTCGAAATTATATATACACGAACCCTGCCAACATATTTTACTATTAATATTGTTGGTCATTGTTGCTAAAATGCACGTGTTGTGATAGGTCAACTCACAACTTTCCCTGTTGTTGGTGCTTGACTCAAAGTCCCACTGGTTGTTGCTTAGATTACCGAAATCCTATTTTCATCTATTTTCTGGAAACTTCCAGATTTCTAGAGCCATCCAGAGATCACAACTATTTTTCCTAAATTCAGATTTCTAAATAACAATATCCCCTTGTTGCATGCAAGCTGGTGCCCCTTACAGGAACAAAGTTGGTTTTAAGTAGATTATCCATAGGGTTTTTGGTAGATTGATAATGATTTATTTGTGATAGTTGCAGCTCAAAACCAACAAATACAACCAGGGGCACCACCTTTAATCTATAAATTGAACATATTGCACATATGACATAAACTATATATATATATGCAAATAATTATATCCACAAAATTCTTGTTTATTATACATATTTCTACACTTAGGTTTCTTCCAGGTTGTAACGTGTCGAAACATACCCTCCAGAAAATTTACATAGACCCTGCCAGGGAAGATGAGGTTTCCATTAAAATTGGTTGTTTTCAGGGTCTATGTTAATGTAATAGAGGTGAACTTGAAAAAACATGGACACTTAGGATGCATAGATGAGACTGAAATCACACCGGACCCGGCATGACCGGTTTGGATCATGACATCAGGTCCTGGCGGTGCCTCTGCGCCGCTCCCGCGACGCGCTGAATCTGCCGCCGGCGCCGGACGAAGTGCCGGTTGCGCCGCCACCGGTGCGGAAGGAGATCCAGGACGGACGCGGGGCGCTACAGCGGCTGCGCTTGGATTCACATGGGTTCAACAAACATACGTATATTATCGTATGTTGGAGTATCTATACTTCTATGACAGTTTACATCATTTTACATCTATGAACTATTTTTTTGAATAAAACATATATTATTTTGGTTTTTCGTATAATTTGGTGAAATTTGTGGATGGACTCTGTCCATTTTTGATACTCCTAGCATGGTTAACCAAGAGTTATCTTACCGGGCATCTTTGCCGTTGTCTCCGTGACCTCCTTGAGGACTTGGGAGTTGGGAAATGTATAGCAAACTCCATAAGGATAGAACAGTAAAGTCCTAAAGAGTGGCAAATCTCTGTGTGTGTGTTCTATCTTTTGGGGCTTACTAGAAGTAATATGTTCATAGTATAGGTGTGTCTCATAGCATAATTCATAGTATAGTCGTGTTTTTTTATTCAATTAATTATTCATACTATCTGTTAGTTATCCGTATAAGTATAAATCAATGCAAACGTCACCAGAGCTGGTAGACACTTCATGGGAATTCAAGAGTCAGGGATTTCAATGATGTCAAGACGTGTTTCTATACGTGTTTCTACACCAGCAGACGCGGTACAGACGAGGATATGATATAACTATCAATGGGATTGAACCAACGATGTGGTTTTCAGTCAACTCAGAATTTTTGATTACGATGTACCGCTCATGGCTTTGGGTCTTCGATATATATATATATACCACAGTATGTGGAGCAGCTCCCTAGTGTCCAAATGTAGCTATGCCATCCCCCTAACATTTTAATCACCCCAATTTATGGTCTGAAGTATAGATCTAAATTCCCTAAACTTTTGGGGGTGTTTCATGTTGGGAGCACCACATTAAAATCATACACCAGCATGTTGTTTTTTTTCTGGGCTATGTCCTATGTCTCTTTGGCCTGGCTTTCACAGTCTGAAAGGGGTCCGCAGATAGCTAAGTTGGTTTTGAACATGATATAACCAGATTAACATTAGCTTATGCTAGATTGATATGTATATATATATATATACATTGATATACATACATATATAGTATACATATATCACACTGCACCTAACGGAGTGCATAAACCAAGAGAACAACGCCTTTAGGCAACACCTTCTAGGGTAGTATTTGAATCGTTTCTCTTTGATGTATTGACCTGCCCTGGCTTTGATCCCTTGGTTCCCTTGGATTGCCAGAATGTCAGGAGATTCCTGAATCTGAATGGATTGGTTTCAACACAATGCCACTTGGATGTCACTGTGGGACAGAATAGAAGCCATGCGGAAATGGACATTGAACCAGTCCTGCTGGACGTATTTTCACATCTTTTGACTATCTATCCATCCATGCATCCATCCATCTATCCATGTATCATATATTAATGTCTTCATTTATTGAATTTATTGATCTATCTATCCATCCAGCCACATATCCATCCATCCCCCAATCCATCCATCCATCCATCCATCCATCCATCCATCCGTCCATCCATTACATTCCATCCATCCATCCATCCATCCATCCATTCCATCCATTCAATATTTGTTTATATTGTCAAGCAAAAAGCATGTGCCCATACTTTCGATGCGGCCATAAATCACCCAATAAAGTTGCTTCATAGCGGTTTGGGTTTTAAAGTTTAATTAAAGACACCTTTCTTTTCTTTTTCTTCCATATCCCAACTAACATGCTCCAGATTGACTTTGGATATGTTCACCATAGAACCAGACTTTGACCCACACGGACGCATACGTAAATCACTGGAATGATGGTAAGGGGTGGTGAATCCCCAAAGAGCCGGAGCTTTTCAGGTAAGAAGAAGCCTTATTTCAGATAAATTAGTGAATTATTCTAATTGACCCAGTTAAATAAGAGTAAATACAGACACATACGAGAAATTTAGCATTATAAGTCCTCTGGTGAAGACTTCCAAAATCAACACATTCGGATGTCTAGAAGTTGTTTCTGAATATCTTAGAAGCCTTCAGTCTGGAAAGCCTTAGGATGTGGACCAGGGTGTTTTCGGTGTTGAATATGGACCCAGATTGTGGGCTGACGGACCCAAGGATTCGTCGCAAGGAGGATGGTTTGATCCTCCCTGAAGCGAACGAAGCAAAGGCAACACGCTGGGCTTGGATCAAAAAGGGGTCCCTCAAATTTTCTCATGCTGTTCCAGTTGAAGTATGAACCATTGAACCACACATCTTTGAGGTCAATCACTCTTGACCTGTCAAGCCTATCATCTTTTACTCTAGATGAGATTTGTGTGTCTGAAAAAGAGAACCAAACACAAAGTGGTTTACAGCTAACTATGAATCATGTTGTAAGGGTTTATCACATCAAGGTATAGCTTGCCTACTGGTATCACACTCAGTCTAAGAGCTGCAAAATAAGTGGGATTGTGGACAGGATCCATTGATGTCTTTGAAGGCGCCCCAAAATCCAGTGGTTTATGATTAATTATAGTTACTGGTTCCAGTTATAGTTAATTAAACTTTGCAACCATAACTATAGTTAGTCAATTTTGCATGGGGGATACCACAAGGTTGCAAGTTAATTATAGTTACTGATGTTACTGGTTCACCATCAAAATTGCAACATCAAGTTGTATCAAGGCAGGTATCCCCCATTTTGGGAGACTCGCTCCACCCCCCATAGAACGAAGCTGAGAATTGCCAAGATTATCCCCAGTTTTTTTTTTTTTTACCTGGGCAGACAGAATACACCACTGTTTCTCAACCTCCTGTTGTTGTTGTTGTTGTTGTTGTATCAGACTATCGGGCGGTCCACAAACACAGTTCTAAACTTTGTTGGATGTCTATGGTTGGGTCTGTTTTTCCAAGACTTTAAGCTGATTGGAGGCCCTGCCTGGAATAATGATTTCCATTGACCAATATCTTTGGCATGGGTGGTTTAACCGTCATCCGTCATTGTTTCCCTATATCTTTTTGTACCTTCATGTCACTTATCTTCCCGTTTTGCAGGGTGAATCGACAACCAAGATAGCAATCATATATGGTTAGTTGTTGCGGTTGTATCCAGAATTTGTGGTTGGTTATCGCCCCATCATGATCCGAATGTTTCTGAATGTTTCAGGGTTGAAGAATCCATTGCGGTTGATTGAATCCACATTTGCTGAAGGTTCAATATCCTATTTATATACCTGGTAGATTCTTAGATTGGAAAACAAATGATCTGTTTCTCAAAAACCTATTTTTTTTGAAACAGGATTGGAAAAAAAACAAACAATCTAGAGGGTTACCAGGTACGAATGATTCGAACTCGATCCGGGTTTTGGTTGGTGTTTTTTTGGTTAGCACTTGATTCCCATGCAAAGGATCAGATTCTGTATGATCAATTGGAGATAGGTCAAAATTAAGACCTATGGGACCATATGACTTGATGCTTTAAATACTATGCACATCATACTTAACTTTACTTAACTATCAAATCATATGAAATCACATGTTCCCGATTTATAAATCACCATTGTTCCTGGTTATAGATATCATATCATATATTTCCTAATTTCCCAATGTATGTGTATTTCATTGTATTTCCATCATATCTCAATGATATTCCACTACATCCTCATGATACCCGCCTGTCCGGCAAATTTCATTTTAAATTTCCCAATTAAATCAATATTTGTGGTTATAGATTCGAATAATGAGCCAACAGTCATAGATGTTTGATGTGTTAAATCATGTTATATAAATATTAAACACGTCATACTCAGCTAGGTTAAATCAGGTCAATTCCCTATTACATCCCATGATTCCATCTTAATTCTCCCGTTGTTTTTACATCTTTCATCATACTTAAATCATATTTAACATATATAAATCATCATCATCATCATCATCAGTTTCCCCATGGTTTCTCCATGTTTCTACTCTGACCCCGTCTCCAGGGCATCGTGGACCTTAGCGCGGCCAAAGCGCCGCCACCGCCGGACGAGCCCCCCGAGTCCTGGAGCATGGCGCCGGCCACTGGGGAGGACTCCGGCCACTTGGCGTTGACAGGTTACGTGTGGTTATCTAATATAAATTAATACAATAGTAACAATAGGTCTATTATCTATATAATCTACATAGATAAATGATAAGCGGTTGGTTGATGATAATAGTTTATCGAGGTTTTAAGAGGGTTTTGACACAACAAAAAACTCTTGGTTGAACGGGGAATCCCGTTCTCATCCAGGTCATGGACCATGACAAAAAATGTTTTGTTTTTCACATGATGACATACATTTGGTGGTGCCCCCACCTTGTTATGTGAATATTGGTTTATAAGCCCATGAAAACTACTTCGATATATCACCAACAAAAACCATAGTGAAATTGAAGTTATTTGCACCAACTGAACGCTATCGAACGGGGGCACCACCTCGTATGGGTTTGTCTGAAAATAGGGTCCCTTTAAATCCAAGGGTTTTATCATCAGTTTCCCTATTGGAACTAAATTTTGGTGGTCCCAATTCTCAGACACATCGTGGATTTTACCGGGACACACGTGGATTAATTGGAGGTCTTAATGAATATGATACATGTGTATATATATACATACATGTGTATTTATCCGACACAAAATGTGTGTTTAATTAACTTGACATGTTTTTTTCACAGACTTATTGAGTATGGTGTGTGATTTCATGGTTTTGCCGCCAGTCTGTATCTTCAAAAGGCATTTATATATATATAGATGGCTTGACTTGATTTTCAAAGGTGGAATTTGCATGAACTTACGTAAGCAAAGATAATTTCCGTCAGGAGTGAAGATAAATCGTTCGATTAGCCGGAAAAAAATGGACACTCGGAAAGTTCAACAAAAAAAATCAGAGGACATTTCTTCATCAGTCAACACACGTGCATATGTCTTACCCAGCCGAAAAGTTCGGTTCGGTGGTCTCCAACAAGGCAGATTCAACTGTCTCGTGGTGTTTTAATTAGTATATGTGTTTATACGGTGAGATGTTTTTTTTGTCGTCTCCCTACACAGATTTCACATTGAAATTTAGGACCTTATCTGAGGTTGACACAACTTCAGAATCTAAAGTTCATTAATCTCCACATTTATATGAGTCATATTTGTGAATTCCTATCATTAAGAACAAACCAATTACCAAAAACCAATTACCAAAACAAATTTTCAGCATGTTTCTAAACTTCATTTCATTATCTTCACATTTCTCCACATATCAAATTACCATTTCCCCATACTTTGTGTTGGTTTCCTTTTTTGCATATAAACATCACCGCGGTCAACGTCACACCGTTCCGACGTCCCAGGCGAGGAGTTAGGCTCCGCCTCAGACGACTCCTGGGGCTCCGTTGTGGACACCGGCAACGACGCCCTGCAGCAGCTGATGTCGCCGCCGCCGCCGCCAGCGCCACCGTCTTAAGACGTGAGGAGAACGGCGGTTCGGGAGAACGGTTCGGGAGAACGGAAAAGGATAGATGGAACATGATGGAACTATGAATGAATATTATGGGATATATGGGAATGTGAATGGATATGAATGAATATGCGCTATATTGATCTATTTCAAAGATTATGGGAATATTATCAACAGACATGGGGGAATATGATGATGAGAATACTGTATACTATGAGAATATGCATCAATATGAAATGTTGATCAGATTACTTTCTGGTAATTTTGACAGTTGGGGAACTGGAACGTCACCATTTGTAACTTTGGGACATCATTGTGTTTGTCATCTACAAATGGGCTATGTTTTCATATAGCTTTGTTAAATCAACAGATGGTAATTTATTTCACTAGATGAATTTGCGGCTCATGGTTACTCGCTCGATACATAGTATTGGTTGGAGGAATTCTATACCAAAAAATGGTGGGCTAATGGATGGATTGATGATTGGTTGGACTTTACGCTTGTATTTATTGTTTTTATTGCTATATCATCAATGCTGTAATGCCTTAATTATGTAAGTAATTATCAACAATAGGTATAAAGCATAAGCCAAAAAAGGGTTGACAATGGGATTTGTGATTTTGGGGATAAAGACGTTTTCCTCATCAAATCAGGAATACAATTGATCTGCATAATACTTTGAACACTTCATATTTTCAGGGAACATTGCTTGGGTTTCAAGAGTTTGCTCTGCTGTTTGTTTGTTTTTTGACACATTTAGATAATCAGTTAGGTTCCAGAAGATGCAAGACACATTTAGATAATCAGGTTCCAGAGGCAAGACATTAATGTTACAAAGCTGAGATAGTTCCACATTGCTGTTCCAGTTACTCTCTGGTAAACGTTTACAAAACTATGGAAAATCACCCTTTTTCATGGGTAAATCAACTATAAATGACCCCTTATCAATAGCTATGTTAGATAAATTACCAGTATAGTTAACTATGATCCATTAACCATATAGATTATCCATATATTAACCATAGATGCAATGATTCTGTTGCGAGCTTCCGCCTCGATTGCTTCCAGGCCTGGCGCGGCCACCACGGTGGACGAACGAAAAAAAAAGAGAGCGAGGGTTGTTTCGGTTTTTCCGAGACCAAGGCATGGGAGTAACGACATTTTTTTGTAGCCCCAGAGTCATGTATAGTTGGTGTTTGTATGTAAGATGGTCTATGGGGATACGTTAAATAACTATATAACTATAATATATATATATATATATACATGTAGATGGATTGTACATAGAAAAAGTACATATATCTATCCATATATCCATCTGTGGATCATCTATGTATTCAGATAGATGGACGGATGGATAGATAGATAGATGGTGTGTGTGTGTGTGCATCCTGGGGATACAACCAACATCCACTAACTGAACAGTGGGGTGGAAGGTATATACATATTATACATCAAAACATCAAAGAGCCGAAGAGCACAGGTGCTTTGACAGATTGATTTGCTTCTGTGTTTCAATCCAAATTCAATGGGGATATTCCCTGCAGAACCCATCAATTTCCCATCGCATGGTCATTAGTATCGACGACTGCAGTTGCGCCTATGTATCAAAGAAACCCCATTTATCATCAAAGATGTCCATTACTAGGGTACAACCAACCCCATTTACACTCCACTTTCCATACCCCGATACTTGCATTCCACTCAATAAAGCCCTCATCTCCAAATACATAAAATAAATATATTTTCAACATGAGGGAGTGACTCAACAAATCAAATCCACTCAAGATTAGATATGCTAAATTTCATTGCGTTATTTTTTATCGGGAGACCTACCCTCTAGTAAACTAACACAACTATGGAAAGATCCACCATTTTCAATGGGTAAATCCACGAACTAAATCACCGTTTTCAATAACAAACGGTAGGAATTTACCAGAGGGTAACTATTAACCATTAACCATAGATTATCCATAGATTAACCATAGATTACCCATATATTCACCAGAGGGGTCCCTACACGGTCCCTACACGGCATCTCATTTTGTGTCATGTTGGGATGGACAGAATCCCATATGCGAAGCATGGTGCTGGAAGATGAATCCCAACATTTGCCATAGAAATCACCCAGTTATGTATGTAAATATACCAGCACCATGGTTCGCATATGGGGATATTAATTGGGATAGATATATAACCGTCATGGCCCAACTAATAGTTGCTGTTTATGGGTTTATAAAGTTTATAATCATCTATAACCTGAGTTTTTTTGGAGTAAGAAAAAGTCCATTGATGTCCATAAAAATGACTGTTGAGCGCCATGACTGAATGGGATATTGATTTGGGATCCGACCATCCAGTCATAGCCCTCGGGCAGGTTCTGACATCCAGCTCCGGTTGGAGTCACTCCATTTGCGACGAGGACTGTCACTACGTTGCTGGGGGGTGCCGGGTGCTTCCAGGAAAAGGGAATCTACATACATAATACAGTAGTATTTATATTATATATATATATATATTAAATTATATCAATATGTATTTACAGTCTACATATCATATGAATTCATATCACATATCACAACTCAAAATTCACAAATCACACGTCATGCCAGGTAATGTCATGTCACATCACGTCTCGTCATGTCATAATATCATGAGCATAATGTATCGTTCTAACTAACTAACTATCTATCTAGATGTCTATCTATCTATCTTTCTATATGTCTATCTATCTATATTTCTATCTATCTATCTTCTTTCTATCTATCTATCTATCTATCTATCTACCCTATATCGATATCAGTAGGAACAATGATCTATACCACGGACAGGCATTTTTCCCTGAATATTTACCTACATAACAATACATTATGTATATATATATATATATAGTTGTTTACAACATACATACATATTCTGGTACCAGTAAGGCAACAAAAGCTGTGAAATGTCTACATACATGTATACAAGATTGTACCACTATTTTCTGATCTATCTTTATTTGCACTTTTTTTGGACAAAAAAACATGGAATTCTTCATTGCCCAACGAACGTTTTTCAACGTCCATGATGGCGCTGCGCTGCGGAGGATTTGTTGCCTCGACTTCTGAACTCCCGGCACTTGTTGAGGTGCCTGGTGCCACTGTCGCTGGGTTTTTGGGTGGGGTTTTACCAACCCCACGAAAATGCCTCGGCGTTAACTCGTGGGATTCAGAGAGCAAGAGAAGATATTGTGGATGTGTACAGTGTACATCAAGATCAAGTGTGTTTTTGTTGTTGCAATCCGTCTAGGATTTTCCATATCTTCGGGCAATAAAGAAGACTTATAGACACTCTCAAAATATCCAGTAGCACTAGTTGTAAATGTGTTTGGAAGTGAACAGGAATCAGGAACGTTTACAATTGTTAGTTCATAGCCGATTGCTGACCGTCCACGGGCTTCGTGTTGGGTATGTGCCTGATATCATAGATATCGATGGTGGCGATCATGATTGGTTCGATTCTAAATCAGATGAAGCCAAACATCCGATAATAGAAATACCCTCTGGTACTGTAAACAAACATAACTCTGGAACATCACCATTTTGTCACGGGAAAATTCACTATTTCTATGGCCATGTTCAATAGCTATATTAGTTTACCAGAGGGTAATACATTGCATTGTTCACAAATGACTTGTAAGTTATAGTGAATACCAAATCATCATATGAAAACACTAATACCGTTTCATGTAATATGTCTTATTTACAACTATGAGACATAGATCCACTTATGCCCAACGATCATATTATTGGTTGTGTCATATATCCTCAAAAAAAAAAAACTACTATAAATCATCTGTCATCACTTTTAGAATCAATAACACAACCAATAGCATGATCATGTTGCAGTTTTTTTTCTGGATTTATAACAGAACCAGTAAAAGTCCATCATGTTCACCACTATTAACCAATATGATCTTGGCTAATGAGTATTAACCACTATTAACCACTATCACCACTATTCACCACTATTCACCATATAGATATATCAACACCTATCAACATCTATCAACCATGACAAGCCCATTTGGCTCTTCTTGGACCCCCTCTGGTGAAGTCCATGACATCTCCACAGGTCGGCGATGAGTTTGGAAATCGTTCGTGAGGAGAAGCGTGGTGGAAAAACGGCGATAGCATGTAGAAAGTTCAAGAGGTATATAAACACATATATATATACATGCATATATGAACATATATATATATATATACAGACTGTACACATACATATATCAACTATTGTCTATGTTGTACATATACATATTTCAACTGTTGTGTGTGTTGTGTATATTTAATTTTATTTGGACAAGTAGTTGTATTTACAGAATGTTAGTTGTATGTCAAGTTTGTAAAAGCTGTGTTAGTTTTATGATAGGTTTATATAACCTCGAATGTTCTGGAAAATTTATACATATGTATTACTTAATCACATGTATATGTTCATAAAATACTGCTGTCTACCAAGTTCATATATTGAAAAACATGTTCATATCCATATATATATACCAGCACAGACTGGTACATAATTATATATAATATCAATTCCCTTTCCTTGGCGGGGCCGTATCTCACCTATGATGCCACTGAGGGAAATGGTCGCACAGGGGATGCTTGTAAAAATCGAACTTGGAAGCTGCAGCTCTATAGGAACCATTTATGTAAAGTCCTTGATAAAATTCATACTGTGATAATAGATGATTAAACATTCCCCACCGACTTACTAGAAATAGGCGGTCTAGTTATCAACACCCCAAGTGATCTCAATCCTCCAAGAAAAAAACATATAGTTTTTTTTTCGGCCTTATGAAAGGGTGAAGTTCTGCTTATAACTTCAACTCTTTGCAACTAGTTGGTTATTTTAGGTCATATATCATTCCCATGGATCCATGTGTGGTATATATGCTAACATTTGGGGTATATTGATGGGATCCATGTTACCATATATATAGCAGCACCATGGATCCTATGGAACTTGAATATCTTAAATGGGGTCACCTCTGAGCCACTTCTAACTCGCTAAGACAGAAAGGGTAAAAAAAACATGTTATGGATATTTGTACAAGGTGGTGCCCCCAAGTTATGTTTGATGGTTTGTAATCCCATGCAAACTACAACTAGTTCGATATATCACCAACAAAAACCATAGTGAAATTGGAGTTATTTGCACCAACTGAACGCTATCGAACGGGGGCACCACCTTGTATAGTTATCAACTATGGAAAACACCATTTTCATATTTTTCAGAGGGGTAAGTCAACCACCAACCAGATGTTATAATTGAGGTGAAGTTCCAGTCCCTATACTTTCGCCACAACCCTGGTGCCCCTGGCGAAACTACGCCAAAAACGCGTCAGGAGTTGAGCGGAGAGTCCAAGCTGGTCCCGCGCTTCGCGCTGAAAGGAGCGCTGCCCGATGCATTGCCCGGGCTCCCCGAGGGGGTTGGAGAGACCTCGGTGACAAAAATACCTTGGTGGATTGATTTACCCGGCCTGGTAAACGTTTACAAAAAACGATGGAAAGATCCACCATTTTTCATGGGAAAACTCACTATTTCTATGGCCATTTTCAATAGCGAAATGTTAGTTTACCAGAGGGTAATGGGAAAACATGGGATAGTATGCGAAAATGGTCTTTGTTAATGGTGAGTTGATGATGATTTAATACGAACATTATCTATTAATAAAGGTTTTAATGGGGATTTACCGATTTAAGTTTATTATACCAGGTATTTTTCTGGTTAAAAATGGGGTTATCATTTCATTAATGGGGTTATAATACTGACTTATAACTGGGAAAGGGCCGTAACTGTGGTGCGGTTAGGGGAAATGTCGAGTTTACCTACCTGAAAAGTTGTCACAATCCACAATTAACCCAAGAGTAATCCATGAGCCAATTGGATTTTCTGGGGGTAAGTATCCAAAAACAACGATTGACGTTTGTAACTAACTCATTGTAAAATGAGTCAATGTGTTTTTTTTGTGTGAATATCACTTGATAATGAGTCGGTTTAATTGGTAGTGTCCCCAGGATTGGTAAAATGAGTTGTTGTCTTTTTTGGTGAATATCAATTGATCAGAAAAATGCAGTTTATCCATTAAACATATGTGGGTTTTACCATCAAGACATGACACATGTGCGGATGTAAGCATACGATTTTGGGACTCAATCACTGAAACTTTGGATTCATATAACCAGCCAAAATGCGGATGTTACCATCAAACATGGATTTTACCATGAAAACTTGGGTTTGACTACCTAAAGTTGTGATTCAACCAGCAAAAAGTCAGTAAACCAGAAAAAAGGCCAGAACATCATCAAGACATGGTTCAACTATGAGACAATATCAGACATGTGGATTTAACCATCAAAAGTTTGGGAGCCCTCCCCACAACTGGGGTTTACGATTGGGTACTATTTGGGATGATGTAAAATGACTCCCAAATGGTTAATGGGATGGTTAGTGATTATAGCACATCACTGCTTGGTGGTTTGGAACATGACTGGATTATGACTTTCCTATCATATTGGGAATGTCATCATCCCAACTGACGAAATCATATGTTTCAGAGGGGTAGGCATACCACCAGATCATTGCTTTAGCTGCAAACAGCGGAATGGCTTAAAGCTGGGGTACCAGTGGACCTGCAAAATTGGTCCATAATTTTGGGTCAGGCCAACCTTGACGCTGAATTGAACAGTGAATGTAACCAACAAGAATGTGAATCAAGATAAACCAATTTGAGGTTCAACAACCAGTGACATCTACTTACATGATTACCTGAATCACATTCACTGACAATCGTATGTTTATATATGCGTGGTGGTCAACAGTTGGATTATTACCTACCCATGCTGTTGGTCAGCTATCTCCAGCTCAGTTTTCGATGGCAGGGATCGCATCGACTAGCTTTCTAGGTGGAAGTGCGATTCAACCTATGCTCTATGAGTGTCCAAATGACACTTGGCACCATAGTGAACCTAGTTATTACCAATTTAGGTATCATAAATCAACTATAAGGCCCCATTGCTGTTGGTTATATGTAGCCAACTATCAGCATTTTCGGTCAAATCCTACATCAACTCTAAAACCCGCCCGTGGCCACGCCGACGTCCCAGGTTGGAGCAATACGAATTCTGGCGCGGGGAGCGGCGACTCGTTGGGAAACTGCAACGCAGGACGCGCGCGACGCCACTAGCCCGTTGGCGGCTCGACTATCGTTCGACAATGGTTTAGTAATGGTTAATTCTAGTTGTTAATGTTGTTTTTCTACTGGTTAATAATGGTCTTATAATGATTTTGCATGGTTAATGTTGTTTTTATAATTCGTTTTTTTAAATGGTTTATCATGGTTAAACATGTTCATGTGTTTTGTACTTACTAATGTTACTAATGACGGTTTGGTAATGGTTTTATAATGGTTTACACTGGTCAAAAGTGGGACCCACACCGCAAAAGTAACCAATTGGGGATGTTGTTTTTTTTCCATTCCATTGAGTGGTGGCAAATTCCTCGATACAGAGCTGATGAAGCTGGGGAATCCTCTGCTCTTTCAGCTGCCCCAAGGGATTTTTGAGAACAGAGCCTCTTGATTTGCTCCTTACTTCGGTATATTTGAGTCAATGATAATCAACTACCTCACCACGAAATATACATATATATATATATATGTATTATTATATATATATATATTTATATATATATATATATATTATTATATATATATATTATATATATTATATGTATACGAATTATTTGAGGTTAGCATTTTTTTTTATTCAGCCGGATCCATTGCTTAGTGAGGGGAGTTTTACTACTGTAAATTCTGACAATAAGTGGAGGTTGATTCCTAATTGTGTTTTGTCTCGAAATGGGGGACAACTCTAAACAAGCATTGGATGTGTCTCAGAACCGGGTATGCAATTTTAGTATACGGATAATGATCATTAGTCAATGCATTTAGGGGTACTTTACTTCCACACAGACCCATATAATACCGAGTAATTAATGTGGAAATTCATTTGGGTCAACCAGGGTTTATGGTGACTCTAGCTATAGCACATTCTGAATGGTGACATGTGAAATTTTAATATTTAAAAACAATCGCAACAACACCTTTTTAATCAGGTAAATCTAGATAATCATGGTAAATCATATGTACACGGCCATGTTCCAGCACATTGTATCCCTATTGTTGGTGGTTATACAGTAAGTAAAAAATAGTAAAAAGAATTACATACATAAACGCATAAATAAATGTATATTAATATATATATATATATGTATACCCATAGGATCCATGCATGCTATATATATGGTAACATTTACCATCAATATACCCCAAATGTTAGCATATATACCATACATGGATCCTATGGAATATATTACATATCCCCATGGAAATCCCCAGTTTGTTTGTAAAGCACTGGCAGGACGGGGGATGCTCCGCTGACGACGCCGAGCTGCCTGGTGGTCCATCTGCCTGGGAGCCCGTTCCGGTGTTCCGTGGGCAGAACTGACATCAGAATCATGGGAAAATCATAGGAAAACCATGGGAAAACCACAGGAAAACCACCATTTTAGATCATCTTGTGGACCCCCAGTGGCAAGAGTTTCAAAAATCAATGAAATCAATAACCGTATGTAATGAAACCTATCAATCAGCACCAGTGATTTCGTCAGTCAGCACCTTTTCCGCCGGCACCATTCCGCTGAGGTGGCACTCAATGCTGCACCATTGTTGCACGGCCGTATGAGTTTGGAGCAGCGCTGCGAGAACGCCATTGCTGGTTTCGTGGCTCTGGACTGCTTTCGTCTTCTTTCAGAAAGTTTGTGCAGCACTCTTGGGCTGCCGAAAGGTAGCTTCTCGATGGCAGCACAAACATGCTTGAACCTGCAGTCATGCGCGTTGTCTGCGGCCATCATATGCTTCACCAAGAGTCATGATTTTGAGCCGTGGGCTCACGGCTTCGGAAGATTAACAGAACTGCCGATAGAGCAGTTTTTTTCATTTTGCAGGCGGCAAAGTGAGAACAGTCAGCTGACTGCCAGGGCATACTGGCAAGCCAGTGCAAGACAGTGCCTGAAGATGGAGAAGCTCATTTGTGATTTGAGATGTTTGATCAACCCGAATTTGGGATTTGTGTGCCATTTATAGCTGATAGCTAAGTTGGTGACCATAGCTCCAATTTCACTAGGGTTTATGGTATTCACCCTGCGGGGCCTATGGCCCACCTTGTATGGCACGACAATAACCATCATGATTGGTTGAAGACATTATGGCTGGTAGAATTGTAGGCAGTATGGCGGCTATAACTCTCCTTTAGGGGATTTCTAGGCAGCTATGGTTCTGTCATGAACTATGGGGAACATGAGGAATGTAAGTTTCCCACCCACGTGATATATGAAAAATGCTTTGGTCAATGGCCATTCCAGGATCCTCAATTGGAGGTACCTACCATATATTACCGGCCTATTTTTGAGGCCTAAATTTCAGGGAATATCCCCAGAAACTATGGCCTGAAAAATGGTACAGTACCGTACCTCCATAAATTGGATCCTGAAGATCTCCCATTGAAAAATGGTATGATGTGGTTTATAATCCCATGAAAACTAGTTCGGTATATCACCTATCAATGGTATGATAATCCCATCTGTTGGTTGGTGTATAATCCCATTAAGTGTAGATATATCACCTATAATCACCTATAATCACCTATAAACCATAGTTATTGGAGTTATAAACCATAGTTACTAGAGTTATAAACCGACTTAGCTATCTAGGGGGACCTATAAACCGTGGCCGGGGGCACCACCGAGTGAAAGATCCAATACATTCCACCAGGCTGGGTTTGGACCAAGGTGGTGTGTCGTTTGGACCATGGATAAAGCATGGCGAACAGAGAAAAGTTAAGATGTTTGTAACCATAACTGGTTGGTGGTGACTGGATGACATGACTTTCCAGAAACAGTTGGGAAGAAACAGATCCCAACTGACGAACTCCATCATTTTTCAGAGGGGTTGAAACCACCAACCAGATAATACTGACTGTTTAGCCTGAATACCAACGAGTTTTACTTGGATGCGCATCAGTGCATCCCAAATACTCCTTTGCAATTTAAAATCACTAGCAGAAATCGGAACCAACAACCAATAAAAGAGATGAAACAGGAGCCGCTGATACATCGCCGGCGTGGTAACACGTGGTGTCCTCGTCAACAGCCCATGGGAGAATATGGGTTTTATACTGGCAATCAAAATTCAGGATGAGCATTTGGCAAGCATGAATCATGTTAAAGAATATCAACAAAGCATCAAGTGGTAAAGTGGGAAATTGAATCTTGCCGCCTGTACTGACTGCCAGCTACCATCAGTAGATCCAGTCATCATAGAACAATAAGTAAACAATCACAATCACACTTGATGAATGGATGTAATACTATCGATCAATCTGGTGGAGCAGCCAACTGGCAATGAATTTTAAGGCATGCTTCAATTTAGCTGATTCAATGGGTTGATTGAATAGCAACCTTTGCGACGTTGAGATTTCCAATATCCCACAACGATTTGACAAGCCTGAGTTACAGCCTGAGTTACCCTCTGGTTATTTAACATAGCCATAGAAAATTGCCCATTTATAGATGATTTTCCCATTAAAACCTCCGTTTATGAGGGACTTTCCATGGCTATGTTAAATAACCAGAGGGTAATTGATTTGAAACCTCTTTGACTTAAATAACAAATCCTTAATTTAGTGATCACAGCCTCAGTTCAAGTGGGTAACAACTTCCTGGATATTTTGTTTCGCCACAGGTATGCCCCGAAATGCCAGTTAGAAGTCAGTCATAACCCCATTTATGGTTGATGACAAGCCAATATAGCCATCAGAATAGCCATCAAAATAACCACAAAGATAACTAATGTATAAATAACCATAAGGTAAATCCCCATTTTCATTGTCATAAATGATTTTCCCATCAAAAATAGCCATGGTTTTTTTTGTGGAACAAAAGCCACAAATTTCCTGGTGAAATCACCCATTTTTCCAGGTGAAATCACCATCTTCCCACATGGATCTCAGGTCGGAGCGCTGTCATGTGCAACGCTTGGCCTTGGATTTACCGAGGCCGGTGAAGCCGGTGAAGCTGCTGGCCGAAGCAGATGGGATGACACTTAGCAACAAACATTAAGCAGGCAGGAACACACACATATATATATATATAATAATAATAAAAATAGTAATAATAATAAATAATAATAATAACATATTATTATAATATACTATTATACATATTATATATATACATCATATATACATATATATATATATATGTAGAGATATATTGAAACATAGATATTGAAACTGTAATTTGGCAGGAACATAACATTGAACCATATTAAGAGACACCATTGAATATGGTGATTTTTGAAACAGCCATCAAGATGTTCATATTTTTTTTTAAAAAAAATATGGTTCAAACATAAAGGATCAGGAAAATATTGAAAGGCGTTATTATTGAAACTTACATAATTACTTAGTTTTTGGAAAGTGGACTCTCTGAATGTAACGACCAATAAAAATTCCACAGGATGTGACTATGACAATATAACTACCATCAAAGATCGGCTGTGTCACCAAAACATGGATGCCCACTCGATTGGTGTTTGGTGTCACCTTTAACCGGTGAAAATAGAGCCAGTTTGGCAGTCAAAAAAGGTGCTTATGGCTGGGGCTGAAGTGCATGTAGGAACATTGAGGTGAGACAACCAGCCCCACGACATGTCCGTGGATATTTATACAAGGTGGTGCCCCCCAAGTTATGTTTGTTGGTTTATAATCCCATTAACGATATATCACCAACATAAACCATAGTGAAATCGGAGTTTATGATCACCCATATAATCCAATTAACTAGTTCGATATACCACCAACAAAAAAAACATAGTGAAATTGGAGTTATTTGCACCAACATGAAGGCTATGTCTAGGGGGCACCACCTTATACAAGTCTTCTCCAGCAACTTTCAGACATGACACACTGCTCCCGGCTGGTCGACTTTGGAGTGCATCTTGATGGGTAAAACCACATACACCACAGGATTTTTGCAAATTGATATGGAAAAAACACCAGACGTGTAAATCATTTCCGAGTAGTAAACAACCCTGACTTTCCATATATGTTTTACTGTAAATCTAAATTTGAACTAGAGAGTACTTGGTGTTTCACCCCAGTTAGTAAGATTTTGTGAGGGGGGTTAGAAACATCATTAGGCTACCATACTTTTCCTAGTGACCTAAATGGGAAAACTGGGGTGAGCCACCAAGTACAGATGCTTATCCCATTGTAATCCATTATAACGCATAATAGCCCATGTTTACCCATTATGTATAAACAATTGCCATCCCATTATCACTGAAGCGGTTTGTAGATTGTTTCCCAATGTTAGCAAGTCATTCTAGGAGTTTATGTAGTAATAAACTAGGTTAAAAAAAAACAAATCAGGCATTAAACCTCTTAGTGAATGAACTTACCATTATATAAGTCAAGAAACCATAATGATAAACATACATAATTTGTGATGATTAATCTGTTGTAAACTAGGTTAATCATTTAAACCAGGTAAATAAGCCATCCTGGTAGTTAATCCTCTTGAAATTGGAATGATTCACGGCTCACCTTCTGATAAGCACAAGGTTGCGGCTGCTGAGGTGATACCAAACGTTGAAGCAACTGGCAATGGCCAAGAGCAGCCAGCTGACGTACCCAAGCCGGTGCACCAGGAGACTGTTGCTAATGCCAACGCAGCTTCAGGTGGACGCAGGCCACCTGGCATTGCAGCACCTGACCATGCAGCTATGTGACCAAAAACTGCAAGCGAAATCATGCCTGCAGCTACGGCAGTTGACACTTCAGGGCGCGCTATAGGTATACGGCCTCTCAACGTGGGGTGGAGGCACCTTTGCGTGATGGCACTGTCAGGCAATACTGCGAAAGCTCATCATTGGTTATATGAATGAACTGGGCCACCCAAGTACTTGGAACCCCTGCCGGCATGATAACATGGCATCAGGCAACAGGAGCAGCAAATCACTTTGCTTTTATGGCGCAAGTTTGGATGAGGTGGTCACTGAAGACTTGAAAACTGCAGTGGGTGAAGCACAAGCCCTTCTTGGTCGGCTTAAAGATCTGAATGGTCGGCATGACAACATCAACAAGGCCTTCTTGGCCGCACATCATGGTGGGCTGATGAAACCGAATTCTTTGTGGAATGATTCATCATTTGTTTAAAGCATAATGGTAGTTGACCATTTACAGGATAAAAACAAAAACGAAAAACAAGTTAGAAGTCACTGAGGTCACCCCCTAGCAATAGTTTGTGATCACCACATAGCAATATTCAGTTATATTCATATCTGGTATTTCGGGCTATAGATCCCATGAAAAATCCCCATGTGGCTGGGTTGAACCAACCTCCTATGGTTTTCCACTACAAGGTGGTGCCCCCGGCCACGATAGCTAAGTTGGTTTATACCCTCTGGTAATTTAACATAGCTATTGAAAATGGTCATTTATACTGGAATTACCCATTGAAAATGGTGATTTTCCATAGTTATGTAAACGTTTACCAGAGGGTAACTCCAATAACTATGTTTTTTGTTGGTGATATATCGAACCAGTTTTCATGGGATTATAAACCAACATTCACATCACTTTTTTGGGGCACCACCTTGGTTCGACACTGCCAGGAAGGATCCTGAGAAGCAGCTGGACGAATTGATGTTTGCCCGATGTCTCAGCCGCGGTGTTGACCGGTTTTATCGGGGAACCGCTCCACTTTCTGTGGTTCACGGTGCGGTCAGCCACGGTTAAATGGTGAGTTAAGCCACAAAGAACATGTGATTGATGGTTGATGCCTAAGTTGGCTAAGTTGGTTTCTAGCGAAAGTGTGGGCTTATGGTAGATATCTGAGAAAAAATAGTGAACAACGGGGGTCGTAAACCAACTTCGAGCTGGTAGGTGCCACCTGGGTAGATTGGGGCGGAGAATAACTGCTGGATTCCATCATGATATGATTGAAGATTGACCAACAGAGAAGAGATAGATAACCCCTCAAAATGGGGATATGGGTATGTATTCAAGACAATTGGATATAATGATACTGTGCTGATAATACCATGCTGATATAAAGCAATACAGTAGTATTGAATCATCCCATGCGACAAAATAAACGGTGAAAAATGAATTGATGTAAAATCATTTGAAAACAACAATGACCATATACAAATGATTAAGTTAATATTCAGTGAGGACATATTTTTTCCAGGATCTTATCATTATCTTATATCCACTACAACAATGATCCTATTCAAATCATCCTTTTAGCACCTGTAAGTTAATATTTCAGCATCCAAGATATTGATAAGATCCTAGTGGATGATAGTGGATGTAGATCAACGAAGGGCCACAGGGGACTTCATAGCCACCACCATCAGCGCTGGTTGTGGCTGGTTGTGGCTGGGGATCACTTGCATCATTTAGCTGATTCCAAGTCTGGATGAAACCATCAATGGCACTGGAAGTATAGTGGTATATATTTATATATATATATTTACAATCACTATATATATTATATATCACTATAGTAATATTTATATATATATAGTGATGATTTACAATCACTTGCATAATCGGTTGATCTGAAAATGAAGGTCCCAACATCGGTCACGACTGGGATCCTGGGATCCATTTTTCGGTGTTGGGGAGCATCACGGGGAAAACCGCGGGGAAAACCGCAGTGATTCCCCTACATCATGGTGGTTTAATGGTGGTTTAATGTGGTTTAATGTGGACTGATCATAATTTCCAGTGCTTGGACTGATCATCCCAATTACATGCTTCATTTTTTGTGGCCGACAATTTGAATATGACGGGTGTTTCTGAAACTAGCACACCCTGAATGTTGATGCGTTATCACTTTTTTTCTTGCCATTTGGCATAACATGACCATGTTGAGGTCTCTCCATTCACCCGAGAGGGGAAAACTTTGCTATTTTAGATCAGTTGGATGTTGTTGGTTTCCCTCTGGAAAACAGGTAACACGCAGAATACTGTGGTACTCTCTGGTAAACCTACAAACAACTATGGGAAATCACAATTTTTAATGGGTAAATGGGCCATTTTCAATAGCAAACTGTTAAATTACCAGAGAGTAATTATTCTGTATAAAGCTCTGATCATAGAGGTTACTGCACCAGCTTTTCTCCCATGATTCCGTGGTCTTTGCGCGGGGAGCTATGCATGACAACGTTCGTGGGGATCTCTATTCATCCACCCACCATTGGCACAAGGAACTGTGTGCGTTCTTGATCTTTATGTGCTGGGGAACCTCGAAGGCTATGACTTTTCCCCAGGTCGCATGAATGAAACCAGCATCTTGAGCAGTGGTTTGGGCAGCTTCGCTCACAATTCTGCTCCAGCCAAATGACAACCAGGATCTATTCAAATGCGTCGAACTCAGACCTTATCAGTGAATGATCCGGTTGCCTCTTCTTTCGACTACATGTTGGGAATGCTGGAACGAGATATCACATTGATAGTCTTTGTGGATGCTATCGTGACAATGGCATGAACTCAATGAAGGGAGCTTCAGAAAAATCACTTCGACCTGTAAGAAGTCAGGACGCCAGGACAAAGCTGTGACAGAGGCCAGTGTCCAGGGCAGAGCCTTCGATTTTCATCGTTAGAGATCTGGATGGGGATACTCCAAACATTGTTTCTCACAAAAAAAAATAGCAACATCATGCCACACAGATATTCAATGATACCCACAATTCGTTCGGAGTGGACTTATGTTTGATGTTGCTAACGTGGGGGCTTCAGATAACATATGCAGTTTCTGCCAATAATAGTGTTGGGTATGTGGGAAGAAAGTCTGTGTTTTGCAGGAGTTCTGTGCATGTGCAAGACGGGCCCTGGCAGCCTCCGCCAATTTGTTGTCAGAGGGCAAACCCCATTCTTGTGGATGGTTCATTTCAATAATTTGGCCATCTCACCACAATAACCACAGATCTAAATCCCATCAATCCCATCCCATCTCCAAAAATCACCTGCCAAGTGGGGCTTCTCCGCCCAGGCAAAGTCCAGCAATGTGGTTCAAGGGGCTGGGAGTCCCGATGGTGCCGGACCGTGAAGTTAAGTTTTCTATAGGTACCCGCAATGGTAAGCCAGCATAGCAATGGAACATGGGCTTTCGGAAAATCAGTGGTATTTTTTTGGAAAATCGTTGAACTAAATCGCAAAAAAAATATGATATGTTTCATTACCTAGAGAGTATGGCTTAACCATTGGGCAGGGGTTGCGTTTTTGAACATATGTGGAAACGCAAGTTTGGAGGGTCCCATGATCAAATCGTACACGTCAAGGGACTTTAATTGCAAGACTTGCGAAATGGGATGGGGTTGTCTGAAAATGGGCGAATACCAATGTGTTCCATAGTTTTCCTAGTACAATTTATGATAAATGATATACCCTCCAGTAAATTAACATGACGACCCTGGCAGTCATCGGGGTTGGAAGATTAGTGAAACCAGAAAATTGTTATTTTCAGGGTCTATGTTAATATACCAGGGGGTATATATACATATATATGTATACATTTGAACCGTGGGATTTGGGGGAACCTTTCTGAAAAAGGCCGGAGAGATTCCAGCCGATGGCGTTCCCCCGGCCACAATAGCGTTCAGTTGGTGCAAATAACTCCAATAACTATGGTTTATAGGTCCCCCTAGATAGCTCAGTCGGTTTATAACTCCAGTAACTATGGTTTATAACTCCAATAACTATGGTTTATAGGTGATTATAGGTGATATATCTACAGTTTTCATGGATTATAAACGAACCGACATAACTTTTTTGGGGCACCACCTTGTAATGGTGACATGGCCAAAGTTGCTGATTCATTGGGGATTTTGGGGGGTTCCTAAGTCATGGTACCTCCAAAATCCGCCAGGTCAAAAAATTGCACCCGTTTCGCAAGTAAGTTTCACGGTACCCCCCCAGGCCAGTCAACTCAACAAATATGGCCTGCTCTTTGGGGCGTCTTGAAACCAAGCCAACACATCCATATTCCGGGGCTTAGTCAAGCGGCCAGGGTTGATTGCCATATATATATATTCTGTACACTTTCTGGTAATTCAGCAGTTTCTGGTAATTTGATGACATTTACTCTTCTGGTAAATCACCATAGACCTTGAAAATCACAAAATTTCTAGTGGTTTCACTAATCTTCCAACCCCGATGACTGCCAGGGTCTATGTTAATTTACATGACATTTATGTCCATTTTTTATAGATGGTGAACTCCATGGACATCTCCACTTGGCACCCGAAGGGTTTTTTGAACGGGAAAGCGCGGTCCAAGGAGACGCTGGTGGATCTCTTGCATGCCAAACAGACGTCCAGTACCTATCAGGTGGCCATGGGATCAATGGGGGTAGAGATGAGGCGTATGTAAGGGCCATGTAAGGGAATATACTCAGAAAATGTGGCTGTATATATAATATATACATACATATTCATATATATATATATATACTGGTTGGTGCTTTGGAACATTTTTATTTTTCCATATATTGGGAATAATCATCCCAACTGACTTTCGTATTTTTCGGGGTTGAAACTTAGAAACCATCAACCAGTACATATATATATATTATATATATATGGTACAGTACCTAAAATATTCAGGTTCCTGAAATTCACATTGAGATGTGGCTGCGTCTTCGGGGAGGTCGACTGCGTGAAAAAGAATCTCCATGGGTTTCGAGGTCATGGTCATGGTCTAACGACTTCGATGATTTGGGGTATCCCAATGCTTTACAAGGTGGTGCCCCCGGCCACGATAGCGTTCAGGTGGTGAACATAATTCCAATTTCACTATGGTTTTTGTTGGTGATATATCGAACCAGTTTTCATGGGATTATAAACCAACTTATAACTTGGAGGGCACCACCTTGTATGAACCGCCCCATATCACTGTTTAAGGGCTATGGCTATAACGTTCAAATTCTCCCTACCACTTCACTGCACCCCAATTTGTTTGATGACACACACAAACACACTACAGTAATCTATAACATATACACATATATATATATATATAAACATGTTAGTTAGGCAGGGGAATTATCACAATATAGACATATTTCAGGGTGAGATGGGAAGCCTTATTTCAGGTTTATTGAATTGTTCTTAGTTACCATCATTTACCCATCAGGTCAAACGTTAGTAAATTGTTATCACAACAAACCCACATATTTTTGAATTTTGATTTTGCACATATGTTATGTGATGTTATTTCCAATTGTGATATGGATATAACCCAATTTCCTATGGTAAATTTCTTTCATGTTACACAAATCATTAACAGTTACCATACATATTATTCTCATCAATAAATTAGTATCACAATAATCCATGTATCATTATTTACCCATATTCAATGGATTGGGTTAAGGCAAAAATAGCAGGAAAGCCCTATATGTGATGTTTCCACCAATCCATTAACATATTTTCCCAAAATTCTATATAGATGTTCATAGATTTTCCCTCAAACCACTCCATGAAATCAATGGAAATTCCAGGATCCTAAAATGGTCATATTTGTGGGTTATATCCCCTTACATAGCTCTAAAACATAGGCCTTATATATCTGATTGGTGGTTTGGAACATGAATTTTATGACCTTCCATTCAGTTGGGAATGCCATCATCCCAACTGTTACTAAAACTCCATAATTTTTCAGAGGGGTTGTTTTACCACCAACCACATTATTATATACTAACCATCATTAATTAACCAAAAAATAACCATCATCATTAACCATGAGCTTAACAGTATATGAACCACATATCAACCATATATTTATAGTATTAACTATCAACATATATAACCACATAGTATGGTTGATATGTGGTTAATATATGGTTAAAATGTGGTTAAAATACTGTTAATATACTGTTAATATACTTTTAAAGATGGTGAATATATGGTTAAAATGTGGTTAATATACTGTTAATATACTGTTAAAGATGATGAATATATAGTTAAAATGTGGTTAATATACTGTTAATATACTTTTAATATACTGTTAATATACTGCTAAAGATGGTGAATATATGGTTAAAATGTGGCTAATAAACTGTTAATATAATGTTAATATACTGTTAATATACTGTTAAAGATGGTGAATATAATATGGTTAAAATGTGGTTAATATACTGTTAGAATACTGTTAATATACTGTTAAAGATGGTGAATATAATATGGTTAAAATGTGGTTAATAAACTGTTAATATAATGTTAATATACTGTTGATATATGGTTTTCATATGGTTTATCAACCATAGTATATTAACATCCTCAGGCGGTTTGACTCCGACGGCCCAGGTGGCCCAGTGGCTGCTTCACCTGGACGACTTGTCTCATGTGTTGGCCTGGTCCAGCGCGCAGGCACGGGATGTTTTTCCATGGCAAAAAATGGGGAGTTCAAACCATGGGAAAACCATAGGAACCATATAGGAAAACCATGGGAAAAGCATGAGAAACTAAGTTAACTATGGGAAAAACATGGGAAACTATAGGAAAACCATTAACTATAGGAAAAAAGATGTGTTTTAACATGTTTCAACCAAGAACAACATGGAGATGTTTGATGATTTTTGATGTTTTAAAGCACATTTCGATGGGGTGATCATTTCATAAATTGGATTGTAACTGACTTAGAAGTGGTATTTCGGGCCTTAACTTGGGGGAAAACACATGTTTCTCGTTCTTGCCCAGAAACATGTGGAAAGAACAATCAAACTGCTTGAAATTATTAAACATGATAGGGATGTAAGGTATCAGTTGTTGTTTTTTTGTTTTCGGGTGTCTGGTGACTTTATGTTGTCAAACATAACCCGTATTCTGCCCCATGTTCTCCCTAGATCTTCGAGGTACTGTACATGCTGGTAAATATTCCATACGTTTCTTCTGGTTGTTTTTGAAGATGGATAAGCAACTGACTATAATGTTTGCATATTGTGTCTTAACAATGTATCATATTTTTAGGGATGATTGGGATCAATTTTAGGGATAATATAAACAATATAATTTTTCATGCAATGAATGGCATCATTTATAGGGATGATTGGGGAAGTCGCGAATAGCATCGTATGAACCTTGTGGATTTGAGATGATTTGAGCAGGAGCGTCTCAGCAGGTTTTTCTTGGTATAGTAAACCAAAAACAATGAAAATCAGGAGTACTTGGTGGCTCATCCCACTTAGTAAGTGGGTTATAACCCCAGTTATACATGGGATAAGTAGGGTTAATCCACTTATAACTGGGGTTATAACCCACTTACTAAGTGGGATGAGCCACCAAGTATCAGAAACGGATACAAATTCCACGAGAACTGCTTAGAAGTATTGTTACCTTACAGGAAAACCACATTTTTGCATTTAAACAAAGACACAATTTTACAGCTAAAACCCTCAAACGGTTTCCTGCAGATCTTGCTTGCAATTCAGCTTTCCACAGGTGTTGAATGGAGAGTTGATGGACTTAGAGAAGGAACCGCCTTTGACGCTGGTTCCTTGACGAGTTGTGTGCTGAAAGCCACCATTTTTGATTTCCTCGGATCAACCGGCCTACGATAACATCAATGGGTATAACTGGTTGATGGTTTGGAACATGACTTTTATGACTTCCCCAACCAGATTGGGGATGATGATCCAATCTGATAATCTGACTAATATTTTTTCAGAGGGATTATAAAATGGGATGTAAATTGATATTTATGGATCAGGATTATGGATTCAACGGAGGTAGAAAGATAATTCCCAGAATTCTTTTGAGAGAAGCGCGATAGGAATGCATTGCCGGGTCCTGTCAAGTTTCCCCGAAAATGATCCAATGAAATGACAAGTCATTTTTTCTTTTTAACTGTCAGTATACTGTAAGTAAGTGTAATTCACTATTTAATTGGGGAATTCTAGCTATACTTCAGCAACATCTTCCGCCCAAAATATGGATCCATGGGAAGGGCTACCAAGAATGCACAGGAATTGGCTAACGCTTTGTCTGAACATAATGGGGGTACCCCAAAATGTCTGGTTTATCATGGAAAATCTTAATGATTTGGGAGTATCCCCACTTTAGGAAATCTCCATATAGTTCATTAAACATGGGATAGAACAAGGATATAACTAACAGTGATATAGCATGACAAAGCAGGAAGAGAATGGGGTATGCAACCCAGCAATCTGATTTTTGGCGTTGTTTGAATATGCAAAGTGAATTTGATTACACCACCTAAACGGCGATTTGAATACGGATATTGTAATTGATTTGCTTGATGGGGATTTTGGGTGGTATTCTATTTCCAGACAACTCAAGTCTAAAAGAAGCATAGCTTTGAGGTTGGGTCATGGACGACTGGGTAATGTTTCCTTAATGATCTGAATTGTGACCTGAGCTTGGTCCACTTTTAGGGAATCTCCCCATTGGCAATCAACATTGGCATGTCTTGCGGGTGCCATGGCCAATATGCTTTGTTGCTACGAAAGGTGCTCGAGCTTGGCCGACTGCCGCACAGAAGGAAGAAGATGCGAATCAGCGACAGAAAAGGGTCCTCAAAGCCGCGAAGAAGAAACGCGGCGCCTGAGGTGCCCCAGTCATTGGCGATCAACATTGAAATGTCTTGCACCATGGCCAGCTTCAAGGCAGATGTCCCTTTGATGACTTGGTAGTTCAAGAGAAAGGATTGGAACACATGTTTCATCAAAAAAGCGAATCCTCATGGTCTATGTGAATTTGGAGCTTGGTATCATCATTTTTCCATATTTTCCCATCAACTCCATAAGATCTTCATGATCTCACCATTTTCAATGTATCCATTGCCACCATTTTGGTGCGGCCCAGGTTGAGCTGCCCAGGCTGGGCTTGAGCTTCACAGCGGACAGCGCGGACGCAGCTGGCGGACTGCGCTGCGACCAGCATGGCGGGCTGAAGGTGGGGACGGGGAGTTGGGGAAGGAGATGAAACAACCAATTGTGTGGGGATTTACTCAATAATGATATAAAGATTATGTTTTTTTGAGATTCATATAGTCAGTAATGTTGGCTGCCTAATAGTAATTACCCCCCCTATATTTTTTTATTTTTTTAAGGGGGGGTCAACCTTCCTATAAAATTTTTTGGGAATCTATAGCTGGGATCATGATATGTATCTGATAGATTCTCCATGGTTTTGTTGGGTTTCTGAAAGATTCTGAATGGATTTGGTGGAGGCAAAGGAGGAGGACGAGGAGGAGGAGAAGAAGGAGAAGGAGAAGGAGGACAACAAAATTGGAGTTGCGGAAAAAAGTTTCCACTATTGCCATGCCTGGTGCAGGTTTGTTATTGCTATTCTGGGGCTTGCAAAGGGGGTACCCTTTGTGGACCTGTTTTTTTGCTTTTTTTAATAAGGGTTTTATAAGGAAATCAGCTGTTTGGTCATTGGATCAGATTTCTGGAATCTAAGCTTTTGCTAATCAAAAGTGAAGGCTGCTTTGAAAAGGATTTGCTTTACTTGACTCTTTTGGCAATACTAAAAGTAAATAGAGCTAATTGACTTTTAGTATTGGAGAAAAACATGGAGTTGGGAAACAAGTTTCCACTATTGCCATGTTGGGTCCACTATTGGCCATGCCCTCTGGGCAAGGTCTGAACATGACTCTTTTGGCAACACTAAAAGTAAATAGAGCTAATTGACTTTTAGTATTGGAGAAAAATTGGAGTTGCGGAAAAATGTTTCTACTATTGACAAGATATCACTATTGGTCAGACAACATTAATATAAGTTACAACGATAACTGGAAAAAAGAGCGTATGATAGTGATACGGAATGGGGATTTAGCAGCATGGTATGCATGATGGGATAATGATCTTCCACCAACTTGATACGAAATTCCGAGATGTGAAAATCCAGGGCCGTATGGCCGTCTGGCGATTTAATTGGGAACATGCAAGAACATGGTGGTTAAAACACATTGCTTATGGGTACATAAGGTACTTTTCAGAAAAAAAAACAACGCGTTTTTTGTTTGTTAACTAAACCAAAGAAGAGAATTTGGCGAATATTGGATCGGAGAGGCAGGGAAGGAAACTAGACAATCGATATGTCGTGTTTCTTGTCGTTGGTCATATTCAAGATGCAAATGACACCCAGCCACTACACCGTTGGATCCCCAGGAAGACCGTTTCGTGCCTTCATCCTTCAGTTTCTTTCATCCCATGTCCATGACGAAGGTTTTGGTGGTTTTCCCTTATCTTTCAGTTTCACAGGTGGTGGGTCATCGCAACTTCCACAACCAGAAGAGCTTGGAGAGGTTTCGCCGGGGGTAGGGAAGGTCACTGTAGCATATTACGTCATGATGGTTACAACATGGTGCCCCCCAGTTGTGTTTGTTGATTCATAAAACCCCCAATATTTACTGATACCATAAACCACAATTACAGGAATCTAAAGGATATAGCAGTCTAACTTGCTTATTACTGTATTTGTTTTATAGTAAACCACTGTAACTATAGATATACCATGAATATATTTACTAATTACAGTGTCATATAACTATATATATATACCAGAAACCATGGTTAAACTATAAGTAGTTCTGTTCAAAAGGTAGGATCATCCCACGAATTTTCTGGCTGGCTAGTAGCTGAGGTTCCAAACCATTTCTGGGATAAGCCACTTATATGACATACCAACCAGGCTGATTCATTACTAACTGGAATGATCTCTGAGTGGAATGATATTTATGAATCACTTGTAAGGGATTACCATCTGGTTATTTAACATAGCCATGGAAAATCAACATGTTTAATCGGTAAACCATCTATAAATGGGCCATTTTCCATGGCTATGTTAAATAACCAGAGGGTATTCAGTTGTACTCATTTCCAATGATCCCCCAAGAGACAAAAATCCCATATAGCAACAGTGCCATCGATGTGGCCTTGGACTGCGGGCCATCGATGTGGCCACGGAAAGGCTGCTGAAGCCCTTTCCACATTTTGTCCTTTTAGAGGACTTGGGGCGAGAGGAGAAATGGCTGTTTTGATGTTTCAACGACACGTCCTTTTCCCGGCTGGTTGATGAATAGAGGGATTCCAAAAATTACCGCTACTGAGTTACATGGTACTCAATATGAAGAAATAGTATACGAAGCCAACAGCTCTATGATTTTCCCAAAAGGACTTTTTTTGGAGTTTACCCTCTGGTAAACAAACAAAAAGCTAGTGAAAATGGTGATTTATAGTGGATGTACCCATTAAAAATGGTGATTTTCCATAGCTATCTTAGTTTACCAGAGGGTACGGTACATATTTGGGATCATGATCCTGACACCATGGGGGTAGCCCTAGTTTAGGAATCCTCCAAATGGACAATGAATAAATGCCAATGTCTTCATACTGATGATGTATCTTGTTGTAAGTTCCGGCTGAAGCAAAACCACATCAGATGACGGACGGTATTGGTGTTTTGTGTTGTAATTCAGGCAGATAACATGTTTTAATAAAATCCAAAGACATACCAAACATATAAGTCGGGCAATTCTTGCCCGCAGGTAATTCTTGCCACATGCAATTTTCTATACGTAATTTTCCCAGAAGTTGGAACGTCAGATCGGTGGATATGGGTATCATTGTGGGTACCTTTGATCGTTGATCATGGTACTATGAGTTGTCAAACTCCTGGAGCTGTGTTAAAACAACATCAGTATTTCAGGGGATGAGATTTTTGCGATTCAAGTCATGGCTAAGATGTTTTTCGTACAAAGTGAGATTATACGTCTTGACCCTTCTTTGTTTGGATGGTCATAACCCGAGCTCCATTGTTTTGTGTTTTTTAATCATGGCTAACATCATCGGATTCCTGATGTGCTGGGATGACCTTACTGATGATCCCACGTGGGATGACCATGGTTTCAGGTTGGTGATGGTTTGCAACCGATCCAAGGCTCCTCGATAATAGCATTAACTATGGTTTTTGTTGGTGATATATCCATAGTTAATGGGATGATAAACATACTGATAACTTGGGGGGCACCACCTTGTACCTGTGCATGAAGTTATCATTCAATTATCGGTGAATTATGATAGTTTCTTTCCAGACCAATGACAGTACATTGGGGTAGTTGTGGGCACAGTTGGAATTATCAATTGGTACGGTATGACCGGTAGTTATATGAGCCACTTACAAGTGGAACTGCCCCCGGGCCCTCTGAAGATGAAAGTTTCCTAAGTCATGGGGGTACCACCAGTTATCATACATGTTCTTCTCGGTGATTTTTCATGAACAAGTCACCATCCAGCGGGCTAGCCACATGGCTATGGAAACCCCCATGGCTGGTTGCCAAGTCCTAGCGTAGGATGACTTCGGCGAGCTATTCCTCTTGAGTTCCCTGGCGCAGCGTCCTCGCCAGACGGCTGCAGAGGTGAGGTTGCACAGCTGGTCCTGTGACATAACGGGGCCCCTGGTGTGACATAACGGGGGGGGCCCGGGGTTGTTCAGCAATGGTTGTTGTGGTACAGCTGTTATTATGGATTCATTTGTTCCATCCCCCCAATTTTAAACGCCCACACCAATTCTATGCTCCCAAATATGTGCAAATCCCAACTTAAAACCATGGTTTATAAAGGGGGGTTCATATAGGCGCGGGAAGCGACTACTGTTTGCTGATGACAAGCTATAGTCAAGTTTGCGGGAGTCTCTTGGGGATGTTGGCCTTTCTTGGTCTCTTGGGGATTTGACAGCAAATAACCGGCTATTTTTGCCCATCAATAAGATATTCTTGGGAATTTACTATCAATGAATATGCCATTATGGCGGAATATCATTGGAACATTCTGACGGAAAGCATCAAAGCATGCTTCGCCGGCAGCTTCTCAACCCAAATTGGCCCTTTTCACCGACATCGACGCCGCATGGTCGGAGCGGCGACGTGGAGCCGCAGGCGGCAGAGGAGTCCACCGGACGCGAGTGGCGCTGATTTTTGTGGTGCTGTGATGTGATGTAAGATTCTCACTGCCCTTGAAGACAATCAGAGAAATTCTTCCAGTTGACTAGCTGCTTGAAGCTACCTTCTGTAATCAGTCACATGGTTTGCTGGAAAATCTCAATTTATAGGTGATGTTCCCAGCTATAAAGCTCGATTTATAGGGGATGTTCAGTTGCCACGTTTGATTACCCGAGGGCACACCATCAAAGCAGGAGTTTCTGATTATCACACAGTTTTTTTTTGTTGGTTTAACGGTTAAACAACCCAATTATATCCAATTGTAGATTCCTGACTGAACCCATTAATAGATTTTACAGATGAATCCTACTATCAAAATGTTAACATTAGGATTTCTCATCAAGGGTCATGATGTTCCAACATTTCCCCATCATCGTTGATAATCCCACAATTTTTCCTCATTTATCAAAGTGTAACCCACTCAAACCCAGTTCAAATTCCAAGTGAACTCCACTTATGCTCACTTGGACACAACTGTCATGTTCTCAGATTCTCAGAACATGACTGACATTTGATCGAATCAGCCCACCAGTTTTTTTTCAGATGGTTCCCATATATTAACCATATATCAATAGTATATATTATCCACATATTAACCATATTGACCATTGTTAACAGCATATTAACAATATATTAACAATATATTAACAGTATATTAACAGTATATTAACAGTATGTTAACAGTATATTAACAGTATATTAACAGTATATTTTATGGTTATATACCATCATTTTTATAAGCATACCCGTTGTTTCTCTACCTGTCGCGCAGGGTCTCCAGTGGCAAAGGGGCGATGAGTCTTGGCTCTCAAAGCTTCGACAGGAGCAGAGGCAGCGGCAGCGGGCGAAGGAGTAGCATATGGGATGGCGATTTTATGGGGAAATCCATTTTATGATATGTAACAGTAACTACGACATGTATGTATATATATACTGGTTGGTGATTTGGAACATTTGGTTTATTTTTTGATCCCAAGCCACGACAAGAGGCCAAGAATGAACGTGATCCAAATAAGAACCAAACGTCAGCATGAAACTTGAAAGTCTGGATACTGAGAATCTCCCCGCTTCGGGCGTCGACTTTTGAAAATCCGCTTGATCACCTGTGCAATCATGCGCAAGTGCCCTCCATGGCGATTCCGAAGGGGCAAAAAGGCAGATTTCTTCACCAAACGCTGACGGTCAATCCAAACACAAGTTGGCAAAAAGTTGGATAATGTTGGATAGTTCAAACTGTATTGTACCGGTGTTGACTTTGCCAGGGGCCACGGGCCACCACTACAGTGGAGCCATTGGTGCATCCCGAGCAAATCACGGAGAAGGTTTGGCACGAAAGAGCTAGCATCGGAATTTTGGGACCAATTTTTAGCAGAACGGAGAGAATCAGTAGCATGGTCAAACACTTCCATGGAACAGGTTTATCCAAACTCAATTGGTTTTTCTTTTGTCTGCAGCCGTCCAGCAAGATGTCCAACACCAGCAGGTGGCGCAACCGATTGAGGGGCACCTTCCACAGAGCGAGGAGGAGATTGGGCACCTCCCTGAAATCATGACACAGCACAGCACAACAGGTAGAGCAGACTGTGGAAGTACTTGTGCCAATGACTCGGAGGAAGCCTTGCACCTTCCAAGAGTTGTGACTCAAACTCGTAACTTGCAAGCAGGAAGTCCTTAACTAAATGACATGGGCAGTGCAAAGTACGAGAATTCAGGCTGACATTTCATCTTCAACAAAACACCAGCACATGTATGCAAGCGAACTTTGTGCATTGACACACTGCTGGCAAACCAGTTTTACCAAGTAGACTCGTGCAGAGTGTAGATGGTTTCCTGCCGTTGCCTTCAAGCTTCCCTTTCAACCCGCCCCTGGAAGCGTTTGTCAATTCCTGTTCAAGCTTCCCCTGACGCCCCCGTTTCCAGGCACACATGTAACGGGAGAAAACAAGACGGGGAAAAGAAAAACGTTTTGGCCCACCGAGATGACCACATATCAAAACCATATCGACATGTCAAAGAGTGTCAAATTTTTGGACTTATGCATTCATGTGGAAAACATGGAATCATGGGCGTACGTGGTTCTTAGGAAGGCTTTTTCAAGAGACAGCAGGTCTGGCAACATTCTGAGGCAATGATGCCCAACGACAGAGCAAGGAGCGACTCCAGCAGCAGTTACGACCGCAGACCCTGCTCGAGTGCCTTGTCGGCTTAGCTTTCGCGGTTCTGTTGCGTCATGCTCTGGTCATGCTGCATCAATGTGCATTTCTACATTTGCAGATGGCTCAACACATGCCTTAGCATAGAATAATTTTGTGGACTTCAGCGTCGCTTTTGGCGCCAGCAGCCATTGTAATAAAAGCACAACCAAACAGAAAAAAAAATCCTTCATGATCTTCATGCAATGCCTGCTAAAGGTCGGTCAGGCTGCTCATGAGGATTACTGTAATCACCCGATCAAAGTTGAATCCTGCACTGCTAATCCAAGCACTGCAGGTATTTGTGGCATAGCGTTGGAATGGAAAAGAACATCCCAAAACTTTGCATTGGTTTGACATGCTTGAATTGGCAAGGCAAGCGTCGGGACCTACCCCGTTGAAGTCAAATCGGAACAAAGGGAAAGAAAAGTCTTTCAAGTTGCCGTGGCAGGATTGGGGGCAGGTAGCGGTAGCGGTGGCCAGTGGCAGGTGGCAGGTCTGACTGCAAGAATAGAAAGATTGGATCGAAAATTGGATGAAAATATTGGACAATTCGCGGTGTACGGTTTTGTGTGGTCAAGGAGAGATGTTCGGGGAATGGACTGTATAGCATAGATACCTGTATAATATATACATACATATAGATACCATGCGGGACCCAACATAGTTGATATTTGTTCTTGTTTCTCCCGGTGAGCAGGAGCTGAGTGCGATGGAAGGCCTGCAGGAAAACACCAAGGCGCCATGCCCGGAGCACCATTGGAGCCCCACAGAACTTAGCATGAGACCAATGCACTCAAGGCAGAACCAAGGTACACCAAGGTATGACTGTGGTTTGGCAAGTTCAGAAGGGAACATGATGATACATAGCGCTCCTTGACAACATGAGCAGGAATCAATGTCAACATGTGAGAACTGCTGGTGCTCGTGGTGATTGGCACCTGCGGCTCAGGTGGAAAGAGCCCGAAGAAGACCGGCAGGCACACCTAAACTATCCTAAACTCGCAGGCCAACTTCTGCTGACTTTCCGTTGTTTGTCAGGTGTATCTTCACCTCTACGACCTGCCAGGGCATTTGCCTCAGGGATTTGCCCGCAGTGGCTTAGACGACTGTCTCTTTCTCACTGTTGGGACCGGCATTCTCAAATGGACCGCCTTCCGGTTGAACTTGGTTCATTGGTGCTCGTGGATCATCAGGGTTGGTTTTCCCAGAACCATTTGCCAATGCGATTGAATCCATGATGCTCACTTTGACGATGATGCTACATGGCCCCTGATACCAAACCTTGCCGCAGTGCACTTGTATGCAGTTGTCATGTTCCTTCTTGCTATTTGCATGATCCTGACGGTAACTTCACGAAAGATCACGGCTTTCGGTCATTTTGGCCATTTCACCCAGCAAAGGTTCTTTGGGTTGCTGCCTGGTGTGCGCCACGCTTCAGTGCAGGACAGCGGCTCCCACAGAACCATTCGCATTTATCGCCCCAACAAGTTTCCGACAAAGAGAGTTTGAGATCTGGTAGGAGGGTAGGAGGGGCCAGGCCTCGCCCAAACACCGAAGTGGGGAGAACATGTTTTGGTTGAGAGTCGCAGTCACAATGCAGCTGTTGCAAGGTATTTCTTGTCACGCATGCCCGTCACATGTCCTTCGAATCAGCTTCATGTGCTTTTTGGGGGCGCTGCGGCAACGCCACCCATAGCAGTTTAATAGCATGTCTCCCTGCGTTCTTCTCGGGTGTTCCACTGGTGCATGGGGAACAGGCTGTTGGGCCCGCCCAATAGTAGGTTTGTTGAACACCTGAACATATTTGACACACACATGACTGAACGAAGATCACCCTCGTTTGCCCACGTGCTTCCGTGAGGTGGGGAACGGTTGCGAGTGTGCCTTCACCACCAGTGGCATTGAGAGGGGCCGGCAAGATGATCGCTTCAGGCAGGGCACTTGTCCTTAGCCTTTCCATGATGTGCTTTTCTTGTTTGCGGGGCATGGTTTGGTGTATGTACTGGGGGTCAAGTTTGCTATCCTTGGAAGTGGGCCATCAGGAGCCGACTGGACTGTTGCGTACACAATCGCAGTGCGAAATTTCAATCTTGAAATCTTGTCCTTGAATGAATGAGAAGGGTGAAGGCATTTGAGTGTGTTTGGGTCGTGGGAGGGAAAGATGAAACACCGTGTGCAGTAGCAATAATGTGCAACTGCCGCCGGGAAAACCTTATCTCACTAGTACTGGTGCTTGGCCACACGCAGTTGAGGACATTTGTTCGCCATTTCATTGTCCCAAGTGTGCTCTCTGGCTCTCTGGCAGGTTCTCTGAGACGGTTGAGCTTGGTTGCACCCGTTCCACCATGGCCTGCAGCCGCCAAGTGGGTTCAAGACATGCGCTGCCATTTTCAGGACACGCCCCGAGCTGGCCAAGGCCAAGACCAAGGCGGGAGATGGGGGGCCAACTCAGATGGACAGAACTGCGCCCGTGCACCGCCGGCCCTGCATTGCCTAGCTCAAGACACTCTGCTCTTTCCCGCAAAACTGTTGAGACCAACAGCAATAAGTTGTGAGATTGAGCTGCGCTCGCAGGCATGTAAAAGGTGCTACTTCATATGATGTCGTGAGTAATCAGGGTATGTCACGGCTGGGCGCTTTGTTGTGCCACAGTGGTTTTACATATGTATAGTGTCAATAGGTATCAGCAGTCACCAAGGAGTGGGACATTCCCTCAGTTCTGGCTGCTCACATTAGCCATGGCAGCCCGGCTGTTCCATGCTGCACTGGCGGGCATCCGTAGAGAGGCCGCTTGGCCGCCGACGGCATTGCTGTGCATTCTTCCCCTTGTGCACGAGGTGTTGTCAAGTGATATTGTGGAGCATTCGTGCAGAGTGTTTTGAGGATGTTCAAGGCTTATGTTGCTAGAAGCCCAGGCCGCCGACAACGAGAACAAAGACTGGAAGATGATCGCCTCAGAACGTTAGTGGGCTACATGTGTGGCAACAACCACGATGAATGTTCATCAGCCCGCTTCAGCATCTCAGGTATCATGCGCCACAGGGCACACTGGGGCCGGTGCCCCCAAATGTCAATGCAGGCGCGGCGAGACATTTGATCAATCGGGGACATTGCCCCGCATCTACAGAAATCACCGGTAGTGATCCATGCGGTGGAAATGGAGTAATTAGTAGTGTAGACACGGCCCCCCTGAGACGGTGTCATGGCCAGGGCTCACTTAGCATTGCTGCAGACTTGAACAGGAATCATGATGTGTCTGCAGTTGGAATGCCTAACGGATGCTTAACAACTTGGCCGGTTTGGGCTTGTAAACCTGTTGTGGTCAGCAAGCTCTCAGGATCACATCCTTCGATCCGAGATGAGCATTGGCGCATCCTTGCAGAGGTCCAAGGCCAGGCCTTTGCCATTGGAATGGAATCCCCATTATTTTTCTTCATTCGGTCATGTCAAGTGTGTAATCGCCCGGTTCCTCTACAGACGAGTGGGCGCAAAATCAAACACACTGACTCAACGCAGTGCCAGCTTCGCTAGTCTAAAACCAAAGCGCAATATTCCTCACACCGGTCCAGGATGCAAAGAAGAGATGCAGTCGTCCGAAGAAGAGATGCACGCTGTGGACGCATGAGGCCAGTGGCC